AACGTTACTTTTCCATGAAACTCTTGCCCAAGAAGCTGAAGTTAAAGATAATATTATAGTTTGTTTCAGGAACTTTCCCCAAATCTATTATCCTGTCTTCGTTTATCACCCTTTCTTAGAATAATAGATAATTTCAAAAGATCATTTATTCTTTACTTTGAAAACCTCCCCACTCTGTGTATTCCGATCTTTATTTATAATAAACCTTGTCCAGTTTTAACTAAGTGCCCCCACTACACTGCATTGAGAGACCTCCCTTAAATCAGATGTTACAGCACCCCCCAACCACCACACCACAAACTCATAAATATTCTAACTTTGTCCTCGTGATTCCTGGGAACTACTAAAATACTTTCCAGGTGATTTTCTTTTATAAGTGGCAAAAACTGGGCTTTGTTATATTTATCAACTGGCCATGAAGTGTCTATTTACTGTTTGTTCAGAGATTCTCATACATTTCAGTTGGGAAATGTTCAAATGTCTTATTTTAAAACATTGAAGAAAATAGCTACACTTTACCCAGTGCCAGCAGTGTGATTTACAGACATTGTCTGTCATGCTTTGAATACATTTTCAGGGTTGGTGTCGCTAATTATATTTTTCACAAATGAGACTCACAGAAATTTGGAACTTTACAGGGGGTCACACAACTATTTAGAGCAGGGATTTTGGTCCAGGTGCTGGCACCACATTGCCTCGGTGAAGCCTGAATCCAGGTCTGCTCTAGCCAGCTGGAGGAAACATTTGAGGTGTTATCAATTTTAATGAGTCAACACCAGCTCCTGCCCTCCCAGTGGGACATCACAAAGGTAGCCAGATAATTGAGGTAGAAGAGTCACTTTATAATTTTTCAACAACATTTAAATCTTCAGCTGCATGGTGGATAGATAGGTGTTCACCAGATTATTCTTTATTATATCTTTGTATACCTGACATTTCACAGTATTTCCTTCTTTTGAAATTTTATCATGAAGCATTTTAAACATAGAAATATATAATAATATACTGAACCTTAATGTGCCCACCACCCAGCTTCAACATTGATCAACTCTTGGCCAATTATTCATAAACATCTTAGTTTGTATCTCTAAAATATAAGGATGTTTAAACTATGTGTCTGTAAAAGGTAAGCACTTAAAAAAACAAAACAAAACAAAACCCACAATTCCACTTCAGGCCAAACGTAAGTTTGACGATAGTTTCTAAGCATCATCAATATTGAACTAGCATCCAAATATCCAGTTGCCACATACAAATCATAATATTTTAGAGCTTGCTTGTATAATTTGATTAAACTTCATTGACTCAAGAAGACTTTAATGCTCCCATTTAACGTAGAGTATGAAAACTTGTCCTAATGGGGATATTTCTGCTGAAAGGCAGCTTGAGTTTCCCACTATGGTCTCAGTTCTTAATGTTTTGATTTGAATTTTCATGAAAATTTTTATTTTCATGGAGCCCCATTTATTTAAAGCATGACTTTATGTTTTTTCAAGTTCTGAACCTATCGTCCTGTTTTAATTTGTACGTCTGGACCATGTAATATCTTTATGGTACTCAAAGTCCCTTGGGGTTGGGGGGGAGGATGCAGTTAAGAGGCATTATCAATACAAGTTAATCCGGGATGTCTGCTCTCATTTTTCAGGTTTTCATGTTTAAGTCAATAACTACTTTGACATATAGATCTGACTTTTTCTCTAGCAGCAATTTGCATTTCTGTTCTCATAAAGCCTTTCTTATTCCTTTGTGGTTATTCGTGTTTCTAATGAGTAATAAAGGAGCTGTTAACATTGATGTGAACCAAGAGGTAACACACTAAGGGGTTGTTGTACAGTTAGAAGTATGAGCTACTAAAATTCCCCATGCAGTTTTAATCAAAACCCACCTTTACTGTTTCATTATATCCATATTTTTTACATTAAAAAATAAAAGAAGAAAGGAGGGAAAGTAGGAAGGAGGGAGGGATGGAGATAAAGAAGGAAGGAAGGAGGGAGAGACAGAGGGAGAAGGAAGGAAGGAAGGAAGGAAGGAAGGAAGGAAGGAAGGAAGGAAGGGAGGGAGGGAGGGAGGGAGGGAGGGCGGGCGGGAAAGGAGGAAGGGAAGGGAAGGGAAGGAAAGGAAAGGAAGTAGCAGGTGCTTTTGAAGTTAGGTAATGATACATCGATCTTGTGTTTTCTTCTTCAGGAGTGGTACAGTCATCTACAGGTCATCTGTCAGAATATAATTAGAAAATCTCAACCCTGGGACTTCATATTTGGTCCTATTCCCTAGTAGACATGTCTACTCCTGATGAGGAGTCCCGACTTGGTAGTAGCTCTGTAAGCTAAACAAATATCTGCCAAAACATTAGGCAGATGGTTATCAAATGATTTTCACATTCCCTATATGAAGATCACTGTGCCCTGCTGATGACAGGATTACATAGGGACTAAAACAAATTAACTGGAAACAGGGAGGAGAAGGGGGAGAATCCTATTAGTTTGGACCACACATGTGGTTAAATAAAAGCAGGAACAATCATAGCATTGGGTTTTATTTAGATCAGTATGTGCTTTCTCAAAGGGATTGAAAGTATTTGGAATGTGATTTGTCTTTTTCCACTTTGATTGCTTTGTAGCATGGTGCCTGTTAAAAAACCTCATGGGTGTATAAGCCCACCACAGTGTGGCATTCACTTTAGAACTCTCAGTGAGGTGGGTTCCCTCCCTGATCTCAGAATCTTGTTCAGGGTATCCTTTGCGTGTAAAAGACACTTGGTCTTCTCTGACTATCCCTGCTCAAAGACAGGATAACTGAAATGACTCCTAGCAAAGGATAAAAACAGACATGATCCAGTGTGTGTATTGTATAACAAACATTGGCAGGTTTCTCATTCTGTGTTTAACTTTGACATGAAGCTAGTCTGTCATGTTTGAAGATCAAATGAGATTTCTGCCAACCCACTACTAGATAGGGAGGATTTATCTGTAACCACACTATGATGTTCCCTTAATACTTTTCAAAAATACAAGTGCTTACATCCTAATAGCTTTTTAGCTTAAGATCTAATCATCTACTCTTGAATTAAGATGCTTGAATGAAGCCAACTCATTTGGAACTAAGCACTTTAATGTCAACAGAGACATATGGTATGGAGACGGAATTACAAAGGCTCTCTTCTGAGGCATCCATTAAGAAAACAAGACTAAGAACATAGCATCATTATTAGTTTACTCATTTATTTCTTAGTAAATCATTGAGAGTAATATTGTCTTATGAAAGTAGAAATGGTCTAAAAAGCACATGTTAGGGATAGGGTACATTCCCATTTGAAATGGTGACATTATTCCCTTGCTCCATAATTACTGCCCACTTCTTTTGCAAATAGCAGTAAATTTTTATAACAAAAGAAAATACAATATAGGCCAGGTGCGGTGGCTCACACCTGTAAACCCAGCCCTTTGGAAGTCTGAGGCTGGTGGATCACGGAGTCAGGAGATCGAGACCACCCTGGCCAACACGGTGAAACCCCGTCTCTACTAAAAATACAAAAATTAGCTGGGCATGGTGGGCACCTGTAGTCCCAGCTACTCAGGAGGCTGAGGCAGGAGAATTGCTTGAACCCAGGAGGCAGTGAGCTGAGATCACGCCACTGCACTCCAGCCTGGTGACAGGGCAAGACTCCATCTCAAAAACAAACAAACAAAAATCCAAAAAAAAAAAACCCAGTATATATTACACATAACATATTGTACAAACATATAGGTAGTGTAAATATGAAGACTCACATGTTGCCATTTGTAGGAAAGTACATTCCAGTCCAGATACAAGTTGTCATTTAGGTCTCCTCAAAATCAATAAAATTGTCAATACAATAATGTAATTGTAAAGTTAGCCCTGACTTGTCAAATGAGGAAAACATATTAACAAGGAATTGTGGAACATTGAGCCTCTGAGAAGATTATGTTGTTATTTAGCTGCAGACAATCTGCAAAATAGAAGTGTGCTACTTCTACTCATCTTGGCCAAATTAATACATCCCAGAGGTTTGAATGACATCAAGTTATTCAAAGCATTTGACCAGGAGGTCTCTCTTGCCTGGTTAATTTTTGTTAACTCTCAAATATTTCTTAGTGGTAGTGAAAACAGTGTCTTTTAAGCCACCTAGACTATGTTCACTTACCTATTTTATGTCTTCTTACCATTTTCTCTTACTCTTTTGAAGCATTTGTCACAACTGGGTTATTATTTGGCTAATGTTTTCATTTTCTGCTGTTTGTAAGCTCTGTAACATCAGTTCTATATTTGCCTTTTCCCCCGCTTTATTGCTATGGTAATTGTTCTGTTTGTTAAAAATATTCTGTACCTTTCACTACAGAATCCCTCCCTACCAGAATGTTATATTTCCAGTCCCAAAGCTTAGTCACATGCCTTGCTTTGACCAATAAAATATAAGTGGAATTGACATGTGTCATTCTGAGCAGAAGCTTTAAAGATTTTCATATGGTCTCCCTATTGCTCTGTCCGTATGCCAAGACACCAGCATATCCCAGATAGGCTGCTCCTCGAACCTGGAATGAATTGAATTCTGAAATGAAGATTTAAAGCAGAATCAAAGCTGAGTGGGAATAGGCATGTAATATGAGCAAACAATAAACCTTTATGGTTGCAAGCCCCCATGATTGGGGGTTATTTGTTACTGTTGCTTAATTTGACTGAGACAAATATTTGATGACTGTCAGGATGCCTGGCACATGGAAGGCCTGCAATACATATTTGGTGACAGATTGAATGAATTAATGGAGATATGTAATGGAGACACACAGGAATTTAAGGCATATGCAGGGACAAAGTAATAAAAATCTGAGTATGTATCATTATTTCAACCACAGAAATTTAGGGTTTAATGTAATAAACATGTAATTATCTGCTTTTGAAACCTAAGCCACTCAAGTTAAATACGTGTGATGTAACAAAAGTCATACATTATTCAGTATTAACTAGTGAGGTAGAGCAGTGATTCATGGAAGGGAGGGAAAAGTGGTATGTCACAATAGCCAGGTGAGAGTTCACTTGAGGATGTGAACTGGATGAACAAGTGGATTTATCAAGGCTTTTAGTTAGTGGAGGGGTGAGAGAAGGACATGGCAGATTTCTAAAAGGAGAAAGATGAAAACAAAATGTGTGGATTAGGGAAACTCATGGATATGATTTAATGAAGATGATGTTTAGGCAGATTAGTCAGGTGGCAGACTGCAGAATGAATGGATTAGAGAAGAGAACTGAGAGGCTAGAAACAGTTAAGAAGCTACTTCAGAAAATGTAACATCAAGAAAAGGGCAATTAACTCTCGGGTAAGCTATACATTCAAAGTGACCTTAACAAAAGTATAAATAAGATTATCATTAGTTTTCAGGGAACTAGACTAGAAAATTCTAAATTCACTTGGAAAAATTTTTTAAAAAGGAATATTCTAAAAAAGAATTATGAGATCTTAAAACATAGAATCTAAATAATTAATACAACAATTTGAATGGACAGGCAGATCAATGGGAGAGTTTTGAAAATAGAAAAAACATATACAAGTTCATCTGGAAAATGAGTATCAAGAGGTATTATTAATAGTGGGAAAAGATGAATAATTCAGTTGGATTGGCGTGTACAAAAACAACAAATTGGATCTGACCTCATATATTGCAGAATAAATTTCAAATAAATCAAAGCATTGAATGTACTAGATTTGATCATAATACCATTTCCGTAGGTCAAAAATTATCAAATATTGGTGATTTTATATGATTCCCCTAATAAAAACTGAAGTTACAAAAGTACTTGGAGTAACTACTTGACTTTTTTTTTTTTTAATCATTTAAGGCATGAAAGTTAAAATCACTTGGCTTTTGAAAATATTCTTATGTTGGGAAAGACTTTTAAAACTATGACACAGAATCCAAAGGCCTATAGCATAAAAGATGGTTAAATTCAACTACTTAATAATAAAGTTTTTCTGGAAGGCAAAAATCACCATAAACAAAGTAAAAAGACAAAGGACAAACCTGCAAAAATGTTTTCAACTTATATAGATGTATAATTAATTTCTCTAATATCTAAAGAACTTCTACAAATCAATGCACAAAAAGTCAATAACGCACTAGGAAAATTAAAAGAAAATATCAACACATAGTTCAAAGGACAAAGTGCTAATTGGCTCTTATTCATATGAAAGGATGCTCAGCCTCACTCATAACATGCAGCCTCACTCATTTAATTTGAAAATTCAAATTAAAGTTAAACTAAGATAAAATTGTTTCAGCTATTAGACTGCAGAGATCCCAGAGTTTGATAGCACATTATGTTGGCAAACGGAAGCACTTCCAGTAGGGGTATAAATTGCTACATTTTCTGTAGGGGACAATTTGCCCATATCAGTCAAAAGCACTGAAGAACATACTCTGACCCAGCCATCCCATTTTGGGAAATTTATCCTATAGATGCATCTGTACATGTGTGAAATGGCAATGGCACCATTATTAATTACAGAATTGTTTGTAAAATCAAAAGTCTTTAAACAACTGGAATACCCAATTTTGGAGGCTGGCTAAATAAATTATAGTCCAGGTCCATGATTGAACAATGTACAACCATAACAATGAATGAGACAATTCTACATACTGACATAAAAAGACATTCAAATAAAATTGTCATGTGAGAAAGAAAAGGCCAAGGGTGATGTATATTGTGTGCTACCATTGATCTTAAAAAGGCTAATAGAGAATATATGAGCATATACATTGTTGCAAGTACAGCATTTCTATGGAAAAACATACTAGGAGCTAATAATATTGGTTGTGGGAAGATGAACTGGATAGCCAGGGAACAGGGTGGAAGTTACACTATTCACCATGGAGCCTTTGCACATTTTAAGTTTTGAACCACTTTAATATATTACCTATTTACAAAATTAAATTAAAAAATGATAGTTTAGTTAGAATGAATTGATGACAACACCCTTTGAAAGAGGGCTATTTCTGTTGCAGATAGTTAGATCTTATTTGATTTGAAAAAAGAAAAACACGCACACACACAAATTCTGAACTCAATAAATGACCATCAATCATATTCTATGTAGAGACCAATATGTAGTTACAATAATGAAATTTTAAATAAATTAGTATGCAGATAATCCATTTCCTACATTGAACTTTCTAAAACACAAATTTGATAATGTTTCTCCCCTGCTTTAAATCCTTCCATGACTCCTCATTGCCCTAAGGATAATGAAATCCAAATTCTTTAGTGTAACATACAAGGCCTTCCATTGCCCAGGCCTCTGCTTGTTATTCCAACTTCACTTCTTACTCCTTTCCCTATCTTGTTCCATTTATTCCAAATTCTCTATAGTCTTTAGGACCCAGGCTCCACACTAGACCTTTATATGTCTCTGTTTATCTGCAGTTTTTCTTTTGGCTTAGAGGATCGTACCTTCTTTTCCTTTCCTCCGTGCAACCCTCTTGTTCTTCAGTAATTAGGTGTCAAGTCTCCCTGACCCCCAAGGCTGGATAAGCTCAATCTTCTCCACAGTCCCATAGCATCCCACACTGTTCTCTGCAATTGTCTTTACACCACCATTTGGTAACTGATGCTTCATTTTTTCCTCCCTCAGTAGATTGTCAGTTCTTGAGGGAACTGTGAGCTTGGCAGAGCAATCAGCACAGAGTTGATTAAATGTTTATTGAATGAGAACATGAATGAATCAATCCGTTGAAGAAATCCAACTATGAGGTGGCAATGAGAATGGGGGAACACAGGTGACAGGAAGAAATAATCCAAAAGAAAAACAAACAGGACTTGGTGATAGATGTGTCATAGCCAACTAATCGACTTTGTAAAATTCAGCTCAGAATTGATACTCTCTGCCAAGCCTAATCTTACAAATCAGCCTCTATCAGCAGCAGGCAGGAGTCCTTCTGGCTGAAGTCTTTCTTCCACTGTGGAACTACTTGCAAAAATGTGTTGCTTCCCCTCCACATTTCATCAATCAGCTCACCCATTCTGGATATAGTACTAACATAGCACACAGGAAACCAAATGCCATGCTCTGCATTCCAGCTTCGGCACCCCATTCCATCATCTCTTTTATGTATGGTAAGAATCCTGTAAAGTGGGCTGGGTAGTTTAATTCCATCTATTCGACTTATCTTCCAAGTAATAAAGGAGGCGCAGAGATCTCAAATTGTAAACCCTATGTTGTGGAAACTTTGCCTGGGGCAGTTACTGTATCTTAAGTGGGTGCTCTAGGATCACTGGAGCAGGTAAAAAGATGTATTCATGGCATTATGGTATCTTCCTGAAGAGTCCAAAGAGCAACCAGGGAATAGCAAAGGCAAGGGGAGAACTGGATTCAGATGGGTCTCGTATACACATGTTATTGATCATTTCTTCTGAGGCATCAAAGGCATTTCCCCTGAAGACACCAAAGGCAGAGAAGACTGATTGGGAACCTCCTGGGCAGAGTGTCCTAACACCGTTTCTTAAATAGAAATGGAACTTTCGCATTCCAGCTCATAAGGTATCCCTAGTTTTCTTAATATAGGTGTTTTAAATTATTTGCAAGTCAAATTAGTCGAAACATTTTCATATGCAATCAGTGTTTCAGTCTGATACATAAAATATATTCTTTGGTTTCTGCTGATCACCCCAGTGTGTTGTGCTGAATCACGGTATGGTGTTCTTCAATCCATCACTGGAGTCTTCCAGAGTGTGAGTAACCAGTAAGAGAAACACAGGCCTATCGAATTCTTATCTTTGGCTTTTAGAGTTCTTAAAGTGACTATCAATTGAGAAAATTTTTTGTGCTTAAAAGTGAGGCGTTCCTGACCACAGGGACTATGGGGCCTCTAGGCTCATATAATAGGTGTTCCCCATTTATTAGAAAGTTCTGGGATTCTAGCACAAGGCCATAGCCAATCAGTTTACTGTATTAATTATGCTTTTAGTTATTATCATGGTTTAAAGTTATGCAACACTTCCCAAAGGCAGAGACAATGTCACATTCATTTGTTTCAAAGGCTGATTGTAGTAGTTCCTGTGTGCTGACTATGTGCTTTACAAACGTTCCAATGTTATTATTCAGACAATGGTAGAGCTTTCGCAAAACACAGGGAAGCTTGTCCATAATAAGTTTAATTTAATAAAATGTAATAATAAACAACTATAACTTAAACAATTTAAATAATAAATACATAGGAGAATTACAATTCAATTACATAATTAAATCATAAAATAATTAGATTATTTAATTTAATTGAAAGAAACTTAATTTAGATTAAAAAACACCTATGGTAATAGCAAGAAAAGCTGCAGCTATCTAGCAATAAATGTCAGAAAATATAAAAGACTTTATGGGCATAATTACTAAAATAAAGAAGAGTTGGATAAACGGAGAGCTATACTTTATTAGATGGAGAGATTCAATATATAAAGATGTTAATTCTGTATAAATTAATTCCTAAAGCCAATACAATTTCAATGAAGATTTAACCAGATTTTTCCTTATATATTTAATAAATATCCTAGGGGAAAAAAGCCATTTCTGTCACCCATCGATGTCAGGATGGTGATGTTGTTAATAGCAAAGGAAATCTCTAATTCCTCCCCTCCTGGCAGAGTGGCATCGTTAAGTGAATTTTCCCCACGTTTTATTAAAATCCGCATTTTCTGGGATGTAAGATGCTATTCAGATCATTTACGTGACTGAAGTAATTTGATTTTCTCCCTGCTTTTCTAAAAACACAATCTACGATGGGGTCTGAGGCTGCTTGTAACATGTAGCATTTTTACAGCTGAGAATTCTGAAATCAAGAAAAGAAAATCCACTTTCTCTCCAACCCTACCACTAGTGACTGGCTCTGTCTATGACTCAACAAAATCTGGGAGTAGACAGAAAAGAAAAATGAAAGTAATAAAAATGGAAAAGAGAGAGACCAGGATGATAATCAAACAATGCCTTCCATTTACAAAAAGTTTTCATATGCATTATCTCATTTACGTATAATAAGAATCCTGTGAAGTGGGCTGGGCATTTTAATTCCATCCATTCAGCTTATTTTGCAGGTAACGAAGGAGGTACGGAGACCTCAAATTGTAAACCCAGTGCATGACATAGATATATTTTATTATCTCTTAGGTAGTGCTGTGTGTGGAAGGAGCCAGGTTTTCATCCGAACCTAGACGGTGCACATTTTCAACAGGGAAAACGTTCGGGAAGGCTTTGTGGTGGTGGTAAGAGGTGGGCTTTGAACAAAAACAGAACCTGAAGTGTTGGAAGAAAAAGGGAGGGTGTTTCTCATAAGAAAAGAGGTATACAGACCTGAAGTTGAGGAGAACAGCTGATGGAGCCTAGCAAGGAAGTGGCCTCAAGAGTGAGAGCTTAGGAGGAAAGGATCACAAGAATGATGCCAGGATGGAGGAGGTGGGGTGCTTGGCCGAGACCCCCAGGACCAGAACCCTAAAGATCTCAGTGGGATAGTCAGCATGCTTTGGGACGTGATAGACCTTGACTCCTGTCCCACGTTCTTACTTGCTGGCTCAGCGACCTTGTGAAGTTATTTATCTTTTTGTCTCCAGTCCCTCCTGTGAAAGATGCAGTTGTATTTCCCTATATAACTATTGTGAAGAATGGATGAGTTAATGAATGTGACACAGTACCTGTCATGTGGAATGTACTCAATAGATATTATTATTATATGAACATGGGAGTGGCATGATGACAGGCTACAAGATAAATGAGAACAGTCAGTTAAATTTTAAATAACCCATTAATAATATTGCTTTGTTGGGAAACCAAATAATCTGTCATAAACAAGATGTGCTTTGCAAAGGCTTCACTGTAGAGGCATTCATAGGACCATGCAATATTTGCTCTCATAATGGTTCATATGATCAGAATTGGAATCTTAAAATTACCTTCCACCCCCTTATCCTCATCCCTTCAAAAATGTAAGTGGAAGCATTATCTCTGAGTCGTCCATCCTGGAACCTTCTTAATGTTCTCCTTCCAAAAGAAGAACTGGGAAACGTGATGGAAGCTCTTGGAGTTTCCATTTAGGAAGAAAACAAACAGAAAGAAATCACACAAATTCACACTCAAGTGCTACTCTAAATGGGAAGAGCATATTTCAAAAAATAAACACTCTGTTTGACTAATCAGAAGGAAATCTGCTCTCTGAATTCAAAGGCCTCTGCATAGATATTAACAACCTAGAGAGAAGAAAATGGCTCATTAATGATTTATGGAAATTGCTGTCACCATCAACCAAAGCATATTTTGTGATGAATGAAATGACTTGTTTCACACACACACACACCACACACACACACACACACACACCACACACACACACACACACACACACACACACACACACACACGCCCCACCCCCTGCAGCTATGGACCCTTCTTGGCTGTCATAGTGTGAATCACCACTCGAGGGAGCCCAAGATTCTTTGGTCCTGGGCTAGCTACAGTCACCAGGATGCAATGGAACATGCTGGGAGACACGTCCTTCTGCTGCTCCACTGCAGGGTGGACCTTTGGGGCTGAGGCGATTCTTGGTGCAGGGGCCCATCCTGTACACTGTACGATGTTTAGCAGCATCCCTGGACCCTACCCACTAAATGCCAGCAGCAGCAACACTCCCTCTCCCAGTTGTGACAATCAAAATGTGTCCAGACAGTGCCAAATGTCCCCTAGGGTACAAGCCACTGCTCTAATGGAGCTCATGGAGGTCATGGGCCCCCAAAACTTTGGTCTCCAATAGAAAAGCACGGCAGGACTGAGAGAGAGTCGAGTCACCAGCTATATTTGTCTCACTCTCCTGTGAGCAGCCCAGTGAGAAGCAGAATGCAGGAAGGAATGATCCAGTTCCCTGACGGTCTCGCGGGTGTTCAGAGAGAGCCTGCATCTCAGCCAACCTTTATGAAGAGAGGAAACACTGTCAAGGCCTGTCTGGGATGGTGCAAGCTGAGGCAAGGCTGTTATCTTCAGCAGCTCAAATGATTAGTTAATTATTCATTACTATTTGTCATAAAATCCTGAAGGGCTGCCAAATGGTAGCATGCAGGCAATACTAAGGCAGGGGATGTGTCTTTTCTTATTTTCCGTTGAAGATGAGGCTGCTCCGAAAGCACACTCTGCACTGGCACTGGGGATATGCAGATGGAAGGTCTAGGAACACGGCACTCTGGATCGCACCATCCTCTGGGCTCTGCATTTTACATTCTTCCCTCACACTGCCCGCTCCATTGGCTGCAGAGATCGTGAGGCCAGAGGAAAAAGCAAGGGAGGCAGGTGCTTCCAGTCTGAAAACAGTCGGAAGCTAGGAGCTCCTATCTGTCAGCCTTCCCTCCTCCTCCCCATAGTGGTAGAACACAGTCCTACCAGCAAGGGGCCCTCTCTGCCCTTTCTTCTCTCTCCTCTGCCCCCCAAGGTCTGCTTTGTGGTGTCTCCTCCCTCTCTATTCTTCTTTATGTCTGCCTTTGATATTCATTTTAACCAGATACAAATATGTGGGTTATGGCGGGGGAGCTGGGGCTGAGGAGACTGGAGACACAGTGCAATTTGCCCCAGGTTTTAAAAACACCCGAAGGATGGCCTGGCTTTTAGCCCCACTGAAAGAAAACCAGACAGGCTGAGCTCTATTTGCCTGAAAAAGAGCCAAGGCTGAGGTTAGGAAGTTAAAATCTAGAGTCCCAAAGATTCACCATTCCAGGACCACAGCTGAGGTTTCACTGCTATGGTGTGCAAGAGGAGGCTGTGGGATCCTGGCATGCCAGGGCAAGAGGGCAGGAGAACCAGCAAAAGTCAGGCTTCACTCTGATGAGAGAGACTTCTAGGTTTCCCTTTGAGGTGTTGGGTGGTTGGGGAATAGTGACTGTTTCCTTGACAACTGTCATTTAGAATCCAAATAGAGTTCATCATTTGATGAGTTCAGGGCACCACAGGCTGTCCTGATGTGAAGAAAAGGCTATTCCATGCTAACGGGAACCGGCTTCACTTTTCTCCTTGATCTCCACCCCACCAGAGTCACTGAGAGCTGTTCCTCTTCCCAGCACAGCCAGCACACAGGAGCTGGCCAGGTCACGAGTTGATCCAGGCACATCAGCAAGGTTATTAAGAAGCCTGTAAAATTTGGGGACGCATGAGTGGGTGAGACACTGATTAGAGAAGCCAAGGAGAGGATGGAAGAGGATGAAAATAGGCTTAGGGCTGCCAACTAAGCCACCTGTGACTGCTGGTCTCATTAACAGCTCTTACTGGCGTGAGGGGATATCCTTTGTCCTGGTGCTATAGGGTTTTATAAACTGTCTATCCATTCAATATTTATTATTTATTCAATCGATTGGCATTCATTCAATATGTATTTATTCATTCAATATTGATTTACTCATTTAATAAATATTTATTGATTTGATGTTCATTCAATTCTTATCAAACACCTACCATAGGCCAGGCTCTGTTTCAGGTGCTTGAGCTACATTAGAAAAGAAAACTAAGACCTGTGTCTGGGGAGCCACTGCAGGAGGCCAAACACCTTACATTTGATTTGATCCTCACAGTAAACATATATGGAGGACACTGTTGTCCCCATTTTACAGATGCAAAAACTAAGGCTGAGTGAGATTTAATAACAATGTAGGTATTAAATGGTGGAAATGATCAAGCCCTGGTCTGTGCAATTCCAAGTCTGTGTTTCTTTTCAAATATGACTTTAATCCTGTGGAGATGTCACTTTACCCAAGGAAGAGAAATCAGCTTTGCATTAGGTATTCGTTAGTCTGTTTCTCCGGAATTTATGTGCAGAAATTATCCCCATAGGGGAACAAACCAACTTACACACAAAGTGCCAAATGTAGAAAACCAACTGATTTGGCAAGGCCACTCAACAAGGATGTATGTTTGCTACGAAGCATGATGTCATCAGATCTTGGTTGTATAAGAGTATTTAGCAAGACTTTAAGAAGAGCGAATGAATATAGAGCTTTCAAGAAGGATGTATCAAACTTACGGTAAAGGTAACCAATGCAGACAAAATGCTTGTAAAGTGCTAATTAAGGTACACCTCTTTGCCAGTAAGATAAGGTGAAGAGATGATATGATCTAAGGCATTCAGGGCAACGAAGGGGGTCATTTCCAACATTTAGCATAACATAAACACAAAAAATGCCCACTTATTAATGAATAGAGATGCATTCTTTGTTAGCTGGTACCCAGGTCGGGTAGAGGGGTGAGAGTGGGTATTTGATTTGGTTTGGAGGCTTTAATTTTCTTGCACTGTTTCTGAGTGTGTAAAAATTGCTGCCCAAAGCAGCTCTAATTTGCTTCTCTTTCAGCTTTTCTCAGGAAAAGTTTGGAACATGAGATGAAAGTCTCCACTCGAATAAGATGCTGGCAGGAACTGGATAGGAGACTGGTGGAGATACAGTGGATGTTTATGAAGAAGGATCTGTCACTTGTGAGGCATTGTGCATGCTACGTGTTCTACATACATATTTTGTTAAATTCCAAAACAATTTCAAGAGGTAGAAATGATCACACTCACTGATAGGTGAGGGAACTAAGACTCTCACAAGGAAATTGCCCGGATCTCACAGATGGAAAGGTACGGAACCACATCCTCCTTCTCTATTGCTTCTCAAGGAAATCACAGGCTCTTTTCACTACATATATTCATGTTTTAGTGTTAGTCACTCTGATGAAATAGGTAGGAAGTAATTCCTACAAGGGTGGGGCGTTCAGCTCACATAAAGTCTCTCTCTTAAACCCGAGGTTAAGATGGGACCACCACTTGGAATAAAAATAACTCCAGAAATACTGGTGACTTCTCATTCTCATATCCTCTTTCCTCCCTCATTCTAATCCTAACCAAGGGTTCCACACTGACATATCCAGGTATCATAAGTGGGTCTGGGACAGGCAGGCAGGCACAACAATGCACCATTCTTCCATTCTGCACACTCCAGGTAGAACACCTGTTGTCCTGTGTCTACTTTCCTTTAACTGCCTTTGTCCCAATCAAGACCATTTTTTGATGCCCACTTCTTTTACGAATCAGACAGGTATGAACACATTGGGATTGGGGGACAGAACTGTGCAAACTGAACCTAGCAGGGCCCTAAAACCCTGTAAGACTCAGTTTTATCATCTGGCAAAAAGATATAAGCCTGTTATCAACTTGAAAATGTTAATGTGAGGATGACATGGGACATTGATGATCATTGTGTGTTTCACACACTTCCAACACTTGTTATGAGAAGTATCCAACACTTGTTGATGTATAGAGCTCTTCCCTGGAAATGTGGATTCGGAACCCGTCTCTGGATTACTGTATTCTTCTCATTGGTATGACTTAGGTATCAAATCAGTGAGTTTGCCTTTGCCCATCCTCTGGTTCTAAAATCCTCTCACTTCCAAATTTGGAAATAACATAATCTTGCATATTTTATTCTTTTCTTCCCTCTGCATGCATGCTCCTAAATCATTCAGCAGGTGCCTGAGATGAATTGCTTAGAAGCGGGACATGTGGGCTTTCATGCATTTAACTAACTAGGTTTCCATTTTCCTCCCTCTTTCTACCACTGTCTTGTATTCCCCCTTTTAGACATTAAATGACAAGAACATAATATCCAGCTTGCATTCCTTATAAAGTCCTCTCCTATATAGTTGTTAATGGCTGTCCATCATGGTTCTGCCTGGGGAGGTCTCCAACTCAAACTCAAGGAAAGGATTGAGGAAGAACATTAAAACCAAATCATAGAAACGATTACACTGTGTCTAGGTGACTTTTTAGTCACAGGCTTGAAAATTTCAAGTCCAATTTTCTCCAAATATTCTATTTTTGTTGTGGTTAAATAACTACATTTTCCATTGTGCGGGTGTGTTTTACAGGACTATGGCAGAGATCCCCACAAGGGATGCAAACAAACTGGCAGGTACTAAAGCAGTGAAGGGAACTGTATGAACTTCAGCAAGTTAATTAACCTCTCTGTGCCTCAGTTTATTTATCTGAAAAGAAAGATCACATTAATATTCACCCCATGGGTTGTCATGAAGGCTAAAATGAGTTTATGCAGGTGAGGAGCTGGGAGCAATGCCTGGCACAGGTTGGAAACAGCTGTTGTTGTCATTCCAGCAGAGTCTATGTGCAACTCTGTATGTCTGCTCCGTTTTCTTCTCTCTTTACTCACTGGCTTTCCCTGCTTGCTCCTGGTTCCTGTTCTTACACAACTCTAAGTTGCATATGGTTTTGGTTTGCCATAGTTGTGAGCTTTCAACTTACTCCTATTTCAGCTTCATGATCTCACTTCCAAATAGCAACTTCCTTCTCTTCCTTGGTTTGCCCCCCACCTCCACCGAAAAAAAGAATTTGAATTGTCCTATCTACATTTTACCCTTCTATGGATGAACTCCATAAGGGCCAGATGGTCATCTCTGGACTAATTAACAATGGTGGCAGTAGAGGAGTCACACAGTACAAAACCTGGCTGCTTAGGCAGCAGGGGCTTGGGATAGGGGGATTTCCTTTAGAGAGGGCACGAGCAGACAGGCAGGCAGGCAGGCAATGATTAGCATCTTGTAGTATAAATTCGAGACCACATGTCCACAGCAATTACATTCAGAGTTTCTTTCATGAACTCTGATTTTTGCCAAAACTAGGAGGAAATACCTAAAAGAACACTGGACAAAGAGCCAAGGGAACGGAACCAAGACTCCAATCACAATTTGTTGTAAGACGTCGGTGTAACCCATTTCACCCCCATAGGCCTCAGTTTCCTCATCTGTCAAGGGAGTGGGATGGAGAAGATGAACTCTAAATTCCTTTCCACTTCCAAGATAAAAAGGAAACAGAAATAATGAGGCAGGGTGCCTAAAATCTGACCTTGGACCTGAAATGGTTAGATAATTGAACTTGATGCATATTTTAAAGCATTAATGATCTGAAAAATTCCATATGTATTGATATTCTTGGAGACAATTATCTCTACAGTAAGCATATGTTGAATTAGCATAAGGTTACTATTAAAAAATACTGTGGAAATGAAATATAAACTTCTATAATCATAGGAAGCAACAAACTCAAAATTACTGATCCAGTCTTTCACTTAAACAGGACTGATGACTAAAGCTCCAACTTCCTTCCTCACATCACTGATGTTACGCATGTAGGACATGAAGTCTGGATGAAAGGTGAATGGCTTCTAAGTGGATTTGCCTCCTCCCTGAGGTCAGGCGCCGGCTGGTCTTTAATCACTGTTGTCCTGTGCCTGGGCTTATGTATAAACAAGATGCAGAGTCAAATGTGTACCACATGTGGAATGCACCCCAGAAGCGTTGTCATCATATGGGCCAAATACTGAATTTATAGGAATAAGAATGTGCAGTAGGCAACACGTGGAAAAGAAAGACTACATTTGTTTCCCAATAACCGAGTTAGTAGAAGACTGCAAAGCTTCTAAAATCATAGCCACTATTTAGGAAGAACTGATCTTTGGATGGTGGATGCCTTAGCCAGACCTTATCTACATAGTTCCTTTTACCAGTTGGAAGTAGAATTTAAGGTTTTTCTGGTTCCACTTTTTGCCACATAAGTCACCATCTAGTCTCTGTTTTTCCCTGTCACAGGGCCTTGGAACTCATCCGGGAAGTTTAGTCCATCACTTTACCAAGTCAATTTGTGACAATCAGTCTTAGGGTGGCCCTACAGAAACCACAGTTATTTGCAGTCTGAGCTGTCTCCCAGTTGGGACAAACAGGAATAATTGCCCCTGAAGAGGCCTCTGAAGTGATTAGTCCACCTGTGTAAGGCAGGCATATAGTCTAGGTCTTGCTGCTCTTAGTTACTTGGCACCCCTCCATTCTCTGCCTTCATCTCCAACTTGCAAGTTACATTGTTCCTTCAATGAGTTCCCTTGCTCTTTAGGCTGCCCTTGGCACTCCTGTCATAGGCATTTTCATACATGTAGAAATAGGAAAGATGAGGGATCATGCAGAACAATTTGTCTTGGTCAATGATCATCAGGTTGACTGAAATTTTGATGTCTATGTTATGTCCCTTGCAATATAATTCTAACACAGTATCTTTCTGATGATATGGTCATTTAAGTGAGCACTAGCAATGCACATGTTGCTGTGTGTTCTGAAATACTCCCATACTAGGTCCAAGTTTTGGACGAAAGTGTATTGTTCTCAACAACCTCTAGCCTGGTGCTAGTCCAAGTGGTGCTCCATAGACCAGTGTCCATCTACAAAATTTTTATTCCAGATCCACATTGGAACAAGAACAGAAATTAAGAGCAAGAGTTTAGGAACATTAAGGCAATTGTACAGTGATTTTCTGTCTGTTGACTCTTGCAATTAAAATGTGTAAAATAAACTAAAATGTTTAGCTTGTATTCTGTAAAGCTTTATTTAAATTTCATTTTTCTAGTAATTAGTTTATATTACAATTTATAAAAGGATTGGTCTGCAACAGATTAAAAACAATGATAACCAAACCAAAGCTGGTTTTTCACCACAGATAGTTTGAGAAGCACTGCTCTAGAATTATTTTAGTTTTCATTTCTAGCTTCCACAAACCATATTAAGTGAAGCATCTTAACATCCAGGCTTTAAAAGAGGAATCCAATGTTCAGCATCCCATGATGTAGAATTGTCTTCAACTCCACACCCTACCTAAGGACAGGGGGTTTTGTAGTTCTAGAGGTGAAGGAATGAACACTTCTTAGCTCTCAGAGGCCTGACGTGTTGCAGAATATCCCTCAATATTGAGCTGCAGAAACACTGAAGGACAGGCTATCTTTCAGGAGGAGACCCTGGGATAATCCCACTGTATAGTAAATGTTATGCATACAACCTTTTATCAAGGGATACAATTTTTGAAAATCAATGATCATTTGGCACATAGTGAAGATTCCAAGACTAGAAAAAAAGGTATTCTTTTGGATTTTATTATTGAATTACTTTCAGAGAAGAAAGCCATGAAGAGGTTCCCAGTTCAGTAGAAAAGTCAATTCAAGCTTATAAAATGCGCTATTTGCAGATGTTGGTGCTGTTTATTCACAGATTCAACAGGTCCAAAGGAGCAGGTTTCTCACGAATGGACATTTCATCACTCATCACTGTGTTACTTCTCATAGCTTCTTCTCCCAAACTTACAGACCTGCAAGACTTATCTCTTACCAGGCTCCCATTTCAATCAGGCTATTCTGCCTCCCTCCAACTCTGCATCCCACTCTGTGCTGACAATCCAGTTTGAGGACAGTTCCATGTACATACTATAAGGCATTTGTGACACCTGAACTCCAATAGTATTCCACACACACACACACAAATCCACATGTCTTTAATTGATTTTTAATTTATCTAGGCCCACATGATTTTTTTATGTCTCCACTTTTGCTGAAAAACTCATAGATTTGTTTTCCAGTTATGCAAAGGGAAGATTTCCAACATACAAATGCATTGCTTATTTTCAGAACCATGACTGTTTTTCACCACCACCTCCTAAGTATTGGCTGTGGCACTGGCTTCAGTTCACATAGAAGTCACTGTGCAGAGTCTTCAGGAACCTGCTGGACATGGTATGAGGAGGGAGATGAGCTGTGCAACCCTGATATCAACTCCATACTACAAGGATTTTATAAGACATATACTGAATAAATGTGTTATGTTTTCAAGGAGGATTTTTTCCCTTAACATTTACTAAGCATTTATCATATGCCTGTCTTATATTGTTCAGGTGGTTTTAACAGAATGCCATAAACTGGGTGGCTTTTAAATAATAGAAATTTATTTATTATAGTTCTGGAGGCTGGGAAGTCCTAGATCAAGGTGCTGGCATATATACTGTCTGGTGAGGGTCCTCTTCCTGGTTCATGGATGGCTGCCTTCTTGCTGTGTAAGGGTCAAGGAAGTTCTCTGGTGTCCCTATTATAAGGGCGTGAATTCCATTCATGAGGGTTTCACCCTCAAAACCTAATCACCTCCCAAAGACTCCACCTCCAAACACTATCACATTGGGGATTAGGTTTTAACATATGAATTCTGGAGGAACAAAAATATTCCATCTATAGCATTTGCCCCATTCTCTCAAAATTTATGTCCTCCCATTTGTTCCATCCTAATAGCATTTAAAGTCAAGCATCAACCTTAAAATCTAAGTCCAAAGTCTCATCTAAACATTGTCTAAATCTGATCTGGGTGGGACCTAAGATACGATTCATTCTGAGGCCAAATTCCCCTCCAGCTATAAACTCGTAAAACAAAATGAGTTATGTACCTTTAAAATACAATGGTGGGACAAGCATAGGATAGACATTCCCATTCCAAAAGGGAGAAATCAAAAGAAAGACAGGACTGACAGGCAAATTCCATTAGACCTTAAGGCTAGAAACTGGGGTGAGGGCCTAATGGTATAAGTCCCAGTTCAAATCTGATGGCTCAAGAAACCAGGAGCCATCAGTTTCTTGATGGCTCAAGAAACTGATATCTGAGGGCAGGAGGAGATAGATGTCTTAGTTTAAACAGAGAGGGAATTCACCCTTCACTCTGCCTTTTTGTTCTATCTGAGCCCTCAATGGATTGTGTGCTGCCCACCCACATCAGTGAGGGTGATCTTCTTTACTCAGTCAACTGAATCAAATGCTAATGTCTTCCAGAAACTCTCTCATGGACACACCCAGAAATAATGCTTCACCAGAAATCTGGGCATCACTTAGCTCAGCCAAGTTGACACCTGAAATTAACTATAACAGTGCTCAACAGCTAATTTAATCCTCATAAAATCTTGTAAAGATGCTAATATTACCATCCTAATTTTAAAAATGAATCTGAGGCATAGAGTGCTAAGTGACTTGCCCATGGTCACACAGCAGGGAGTGGTAGAGCTGAGATTTGCACCTGGGGAGTATGGCTCCAAAGTTTTGCCTCTCAAGTTTCCCAAGACACAAATGCAAAACAGGATAAGAGCCTTTTGACCATTAGGGTGATAAAATGAAGAGGCTATGGAGCCTGTGTTTTTAGCCTTAGTAAGTGAGGAGAAGACTTCCATGATGGAGAGTACAGTCCAGGTACTTAAAAACCTGTAGCAGTCGAGTGCCAAAGAAAGCGTGAGAAAATGGAAAAAAGTCCAGTGAGTCTTGAATGCCCACTGCTTCCTGTCCTCCATTGCTCTTCTCCCTGACCCCTCCAGCTGCCTACTGACAGCCCCTATTCTCCACACCCACATTAGCTCTCACTTTTTCCTGCTTTCCCACTCAATGACATGTCCCATCTCCTTGACCTTCCCCAACCCTTCCCAAGGGTATATGTTTCAGGACCTACAACCCACCTATCAAATTCACACAAAGCAGGGAGCATCTGAGCTTTCCAAAGACTTCCTCTCATTCTTCTTTGGCAAAATGACAGAATTTCTCACAAAATTTATGGTTTTTACCTCACCATCCCCTTTACCATCTCCATACCTAACTAATATAATTAGCGTGCTCCTTTTCTTCAGCTAGAATACCACTGGGAAAGGAATTCGATTTGGTAGATCTTCCCGCATTTTACTCACACTAACTCCCTGAGTTCCAAAGGATCTGGACCATTAATCAGCAATGATATCCGGACCACTGACAATAAAACAATTGGACTTAATAAATCCAAACTCGGAAAATACATTTCTGGACTTGTCAGAACAATAAGTCAATGCCACGTGTCAATAGGAGGCAAATTTGAAACAGACAAAAAAGTGAAATCAGTGTTCTATCTGTGAGAATTCTAACTGTACTCCCTAAACTCAATCTTAGAAGTTCAAAAGGAAAAAGATTTTTTTTTCTGATTGATTTGCAAATGACAAAGATAAGATCAATTTCCTAAGAGTTTTTCTAAGCTTTTTTTTTTTTCACCTAGGAAGATTAAATGGGAAAAACACTCACTTTTAGTTTATCCAAAAAAAAATTTTAAAACAGCTCAATTTTGAATCTATTTGTGCCCATCAGATAATGGGGAGTATAGATGATGCCCAATTGAAGCAGCCTGACTCACTACTCAAACTTGGCTAGTGATGTGAGCCAGATCAATGTTCATGATCAGGCCTTGTTTGACTTGTCAGCCTCTCATGCTTTGCATTAATAAGCTGTATTAATAGAGTATGTGGTAGGATATAAAATCCCCATATGCTCTTCTGTATAGTCCTTTGGCTAATTTCTAGAGGCTTTTTATTGTTTCAGGATTATTTCACCTTGTAAGATCATCATGCAAAATTCCTGACTTCTTTCTTAATATTAACATTACAAGGGAATTTAGTCATCTGTACAAACATTGAGAAGTTAAGCTTTCGAATAAAAAAACCAACAACCAACCAAAAGACAGCAAGAAAACCCAACAATCTTTGAGACTAAAACACTAGAGTGAGATAGGTGCCCACAATCTCTTCAACCGTAAAAAGACCAGGATCATTTCTCAGACTTAAACCTGGAATGTTCCTAGAAGAAATGAAAATGTTTCACATTCAGAATGATAGGAAGAATAAACATTTGTTAAAAATAGCATGTTTCATGGATTATAGCTCATAATGTTTCAGCTGATAAAGACTAAAGCTACTTCTTATTATATAAAGAATTTGAATTTCTTAGTACTTTAAATAAATACCAGAATATATATATATATGATATCTCTGCTTCTAGGAATACTTGTAATTGTTAAGTGCTCATCTTGAGTTCAATGAAAAGGCAGAGGATGTTTAAAATTTCTTAAAATAATAGCATATAGCTGTAACTGATTCCCCATATGACATTCCATTCTGCCTGAAGCAGTGTGTATGGGATAGCATTCCATAAAGGTATGGCATTAGGAGAAGTGACTGCCTACCAAGTATGGGACAACAAAAGTTACATTTTCTTTCTTTGATTACAAAATAACATATGCCTGTGATAAAAAAAATAAAGAAAATAATAAAGTAGTATATATGAAGTGAAAATTAAAAGTCCCCCTTTGAAGTGATGGTAGGTATTCCAAATCTTTTTCTGGGTATATATAAGTGAATGTATATCTAAATAACTAAATGTCACCTATTCAGATTTCTCCATATCGGAACCATCCAAATAGTGAGATCGGCCTAAAAAGATTTGTTTGAAATGCTTATACATTTAAACTATCATGCCAAGTAATAATTGAAGAGTAATTTCTCATGGTGTATGGCATATGGTGGGATGTGCTGGTTCGTTGCCATAGAGATTCATTTGGTGGTATAATGCGAAGTGAGGTTGGTGGTTGTTCTGGTAATGCATGAGTTGGGCTGGTTCGGAGTTATTTCTATGTTGTAAAAGCAATAAAGTTTAAAGTACTAAAATGAAATCATACAGATATATTACACATCTCATACTTACTCCATAATCCATATAACGGAAAGTGGAGAACGTATTCAGAAGATGTATAGATTGGATTAAGGTGTTTTTTTTGTTATCATTGGGTTCTTTTGTAGGTAGAATATCTAGATTTGTTAATCTAGCCATATTGCAGGCATTTTGGCAAAGAATAGTTCTCTACTCTATTTGTAATCCTGATGTTGGCTGATTCCAAAGCCAAGAAAGTGTCCCTATTCTCTGGCTGCTGTCTCTGTTCTGCATTGTTTACATATATGGACAACTTGGCCCCTTCCTGGATTTAAGCATGCACACACACACTCATGCACACTTACATATTCACACAAAGCATTAGTGATGATTTGAGGGTATTGGCCAGACTTCCTACTATGAAGCACACAGCAAGCTATTTAAAATCTCTCATTAACCACTTCACTTCTTAAAGTCCTTTCCTCCATCTTGCTTCAGGGAGAGTTACACTTGCTTTTGCCTCAGATGCTGCTAGCCCCTCACTTTCTTTCTCTCTCCTCTCCTTATCTTTTCTGCTGTCATCTCCTTCCTTCAAACATGCAAAACAGGTTAGACTTCTTCACTTCCTTCTGCAATAGCTGCATCTCCAAACCTACTAAAGTACTGAGTAGAACACCATTTAACTGGGTCCATCCTAAAGAGATCTTGTATAAAAATAGGAAAAAGTTACTACATTTATACAGAAATCACTTAGGTATTGTTATATTTTTACAAAATGGGACCATATAAAACATAATACTCTGCAACTTGCTTTTTCAATCTCTCATCAGCATATCATGAATAACATTTCAGGGAACTTAAATCAACCTTACTCTTTTAATGGCTGAGTATTATTCCATGGTACATTATACTTAGGAATCCCCTCTATCAGTATATATTTAGCGTTTCTCTACAATTTTTCACTTTTGTAATGATGTAATGAATATACTTGCACATGCATATTTTCACATTGCTATGAGTGATTGCTGCAGGAAAAGGCCTACAAGTGGAATTACGGTCAGGAGATAAGCACATTTAAAATTTTGATAGACTCTCTCAAATTGCTCGCAAAATAGCACATGCATTCATTCCCATCACCAGGGTGCACATTCATGAAGGATATTTGTAAAGCCTTTTAGAACAACTTTAAACTGTTGCTGGCATATTACATCATCCTTGCAGATGTTAAATACTTGGGATTAGACCAAGAAATTATTGGTAAACACTGCCACCTAAACCCACTGCAAATCTACATGACAGGGAAAAAATGTTAGAAATAAAACTAAACAGAGATCCCAGGTCCCTCACCCAATGAATAAAAGAGAATCTAAGTCTAGTTAGAATTTGAATAGGAAGTTAATCTTAGAGACAATCACCAATCTTAGAGATAATCACCGAGGAAAGGCACAGAAAAGCACCCTTGTGGGGGATTGCAGGGGGCTCTGGGAGAGCATGTAGATACCAGCAAGTAGTAGTGACATCATCTTCTTCTTTATATGGGAAACACCCTCATGGTACTGAAACCCATACTAGCAGACTTCCACATGAAACTTCTTCTGAGAAACAGTTGTGGGTTTCACGGAGGGCCATCCTTCAATCTACAGGCTTGAGAATGGCAGAGCTTTTGGCCACATCACTTCTGACAATCTATCCATGTCCCCAGCCCTGAAACTTAATGCTAGAAGCTACAACCTACTTCATATACAGGACAGTTCCTTGCACATGTTGGCAAAGTTTCTAGGGTAAAGATGTTACCACTGAGTACTATTTGGGGAATGGAAACAGGAGATCTGAAATCTGGCTCAGATACTGCCCCTCACTCGTGTCTTGTCCTTAGGTCAACTCTCATGTCTCACTTTCTTCATCTGTAAAATGTGTCTTACAAAGGCCTCATCTACCTTCCAAGTAAAGATCATGTGCGTTCACACATAGAGAGGCAGTTTGTAGCACAAAGTGGATTTCAAATGTAAGGCTTTGTTAGTAAAGAAGCTTCTCTTACAGCTCTTTGTGAACACTACGGGAAACAAACCAACAAAACCCGTTTCCAACAAATCAAAAGAAAGAGATCTGAAATTAGATAGCAGTGATGGGTTGCACAACTTTGTGAATATACTGAAAATCCCTGGTTGGAAAAAAAAGAAAGAAAAGAAGAGAGGAAGGAAGAGGGAGAAGGAGGCAGGAGGGGAGGAAGGAGGGGAAAGAGACAGAAAGTTTTTTGTTTTTGTTTTTGTTTTTAATTGCAGAGATAATCAAAGTTGTAGGGAAATAACTTTCTTGGAGCACATTTTATAAGCCAGGCCCTCTTTAATTCTTTGGATATGGGATATTTATTTCATTCTCCCCATAATTTGAGATGTAGAAATTATTGCCCAGATTTTTTTGGGAAAATGAGAGTTTCAGCACCTTGACCAGGTCGTAGGGCAATTACCTTGCCCAGAATTTGAATCTAACCCTTCTTGACTCCTAGGCCTGAGCTTTTTAGCTGTACCATGCTGCTTCTTGACCCAGTCAAAAGCTCAAAGCAAGCATAAGACTTGCCAATGACATCAGACCCACATATTCAGACTCCCCTCAAGAGACTCTATGTGAAATAACTTGAGGGATTTCCTTGTTGTTAATCTCAAAAGTGAAGTGAAGTGCCGCTCACTGAGAAGGACGGTCCATTATGTGTCTAGTGTTTATACACTCATCATAGCCTTCCTGGGTCTATTTGTACTTTCAGCCCTAAACCTTGTCTTGGGTTAATGAGCCCCACAAGTTCTCTAGCCAAACGTTTATTGGCTTCCAGCTTAACATAAGCTTGTACCTAATCAATGTAGCCGTTGAAACAAGTTCCATGCTGGCAAATTCCCAAAGCAAAAGGAGGTAAATGAGAACAACATGAATGAGGCAAACAAGGGAGCCACCATGGAGGAACAGTTTAATCAACACTTAGAGAAACATGGCTGCATCCTGCTGAGATGGAAATAAATCTGTTTTGTAGACATCCTGATGCCTTTAACTATATCCTCTTCCTCTAGTACAAAGCCTTGCAGCTTTTGCATCACTCCTGCTGGAAATCACTTCATAACAAGAGAAGTTGAAAAATTTCAGATCCAGGTTTTAAAATTAATTTCTAAAACATAAAAAACAGTAGCAGACACAGTTGGTGCCTACTTATAACCCCCTGGACATTTACTGTGAACCCCATGACTCCCTGCCTGAGGATTTTGCCAGAATGGGGAGCATGATAGACCAGTGGGCAAAGCAAGTAGGAAGTGCTAGGCTGTGAATTCCTCCAGAAGCTGCTCTCATCCAATGGCTGGGTTCATGGATAACTAATTTGATGGACAAAGAGTCAAAAACTGAGTTGATATATACAAATAAGTAGCTCAGCATCCCAGCTCCACGGTCAGGGTAACTCAAGGTGTGTTTACTCTGTCCTCCAGAATTCTTGAGCTCCAGGTGCCTAGAGCCGCAACTGGTTTAATAAGGCTTCCTTTGTTGGCATCCTTCCCTTCCCTGTCTCACTTCCCCATTTCCCTCCTGCTGTTTCCTGGGATTATCTCCCAAAAAAACCTCTTGCATTAAAATCTTTGACTCTGAGTCTCCTTCAAGAGGAACTCAAAACAAGACAAGAGTGACTCACACTCTCTGGATGAAAAGGGAAATGATCATTAAGAAAATAAGCTTTCGGCCTTTCTCTTTAGTCCTGTTGACTTTGGATTTCTTTCATCCCTTTAGAACTTCTCCTCTGTTGACTGATTTCCCAAGGTCCCAAGATTTGCCTGACCACCTGCAAATTAAGTGTTTCCCCATCTCTATGGCCACTCCTGGTTCCATTCACTAGTTCTCTCTGGATATTACTACCTGGAAAGTTAAACCTGCTAACACATAGAATGTTAGAACTGGGCAGGAAGGAACCTGAGACCTGTCAGGCCCTATGATCTGTCAAAGAGACTCACCCAAGGTAGAAATCATGCTTTTTCCCCAACACCTGCTGCTATGCAGGTTCTTTCCTCTCTTTCCCCAGTTATGACATAGTCTCTCCCCTCACTCCATTCCCTGCATTGGTACCATTTTTACCTTTGGTCCTCTTCCAGTTATTGGCCAGACTAAATGACCTCCGAAGACCTTGGAAGTTATTTACCTTCAATGACTCTTACCCTCATCTTCTAACTAAGGGTTGGAATACTGAGACAATGCTCTCCCCAACCCCAAAAGACCACCACCAGACCTTCCTGAAATGCCATGTTCTAGGAGATCACTTCTTTCTCCCAAAAACAAGGTTTTGGTCACTGAGCTGAACAAATTATTTTTCTTAGTTCACATATCCCACCTCTGTTAAACTTCTTTGTCTGTATCAAAAGAAGCTCCTCTGTTTTTCTCCTTTCAAACAAATCCCTGCCAGATACAGTGCCTTGACCAAGGGCATAGCTAGGCATAAAATCATCATGTATCTGTCCTAAACCCATTCTAATGGCCCTGGGGCAAGAGGGGATATAGTGTTAAGTCCCTTCCTCCTCAGCCATGTATCTCCCTCTCTGGAGTACCGCCAGCTTCCTTCACCAGTCTCCATTTGCAGAACCCCTCACCCCCTCACCATGTTCTTAGGAAGATGAATCAGGGGCGAACAGTTTAGATATTATTTAAGTTATCTTTTGATCACATAGAACGTAAGTAAAGAATTCTTACGACAAGTGATACACTGCATTCCTCAAGTATGTCAATCTGTGCAAAGCACTGAAGGGGCTGCATTGTTTACCTTAACAGTTACAGCCCCTGCTAATGATTACAAGGATGCTGTTTATATCAATATTTAAATATGCTGTTTCTCCCAAATGAACCACAACAGCCTCATTTAATGTTATTTTATTAGGATGAGCAGATATTTGGACAATGTAAACCTGTATGCCACTTGCTATACAAACCTCTCTAATAACGCCTCAGTTTAGCATCTAAATACATATTTAAACAGTTTAAAAACACATTGACTACATAATTTGTATTTGTAACTGCTCAGAATAAAGGACTTTTTATTGAGTGTGCCAAATAATGCGAATTTGGATGCCTTCTGAAAGGATGCATTATTCATGTGGAAGAGAAACAAAATCAATAAATGAAAATTCAAATAAAAATAAAACCCATTATGATACTGCACCCAGACAATGATCATCTTGTGCATTATTTACTCAAGGAAAAGACACAGGAAAATGGCCCTTCTGGAACTGGGCTATGAACTGAATCATAACCTCCTGCTTAGGCTGTTCGAAAAGAAGCAGAATTGTATGTTTCTAACAGAAAGAATTGTTACGTTTCTAAAAGAAAGACTCAATTTCTTTTAGTTTGTGACTAAAATTATTTAAAAATTTAACAAGGTACATTTGGGAAATTGGTAAGATGTGAACATGATTACATTCTATTGTTACCACATCACTTATTTCATTGCTACCAGGATATATAGAATAAAGTTCAGAATGCAGTTTTGTGGAAAAGCATATCTTTGCATATAGAGAATACTGGATATGTGTGTTTATGCTTGATGGGGAGGAGAAAAACAAAGGTTATTAACTCTGGCACATCTCAAGACGCTTCCTTACTTTTTACAAAGGCATTAATATCGGTCAAGAGGTCAGGCTTTGGGATCAGACATCCTGAGTTAAATCTTGCCTCTTACACTACTAGTTCTGTGATTTTCATTATTTAACCCCACTAAGCTTTGGTAAAATGTTAGGTTAATGAGAATACCTGCCACTTGGGATTAAAGGAAATTCTTAGCCCAGTACCCGGCACATGGAAGTTACCCAATGAGTGTTAGCAATAAGAATATCTAAGAGTAGGCCGGGTGCGGTGGCTCAAGCCTGTAATCCCAGCACTTTGGGAGGCCGAGACGGGCGGATCACGAGGTCAGGAGATCGAGACCATCCTGGCTAACACGGTGAAACCCCGTCTCTACTAAAAATACAAAAAAAAAAAAAACTAGCCGGGCGAGGTGGCGGGCGCCTGTAGTCCCAGCTACTCAGGAGGCTGAGGCAGGAGAATGGCGCAAACCCGGGAGGCGGAGCTTGCAGTGAGCTGAGATCCGGCCACTGCACTCCAGCCCGGGCTACAGAGCAAGACTCTGTCTCAAAAAAAAAAAAAAAAAAAAAGAATATCTAAGAGTAGCACTATCTTTCCTTACAGACATTTGATTGTCAAAGCACGTGGCTATCCTTCCTCAACAATAATGCACAGGTGCACATTGATTCTTTGCTGAAGAATATTATTTAAGACTCTGCTGCCTATTTTTTATCAAATGTTATGAGAAATAAGCTTCAATGTTTCTTCACGGAACACTTGCCTGAAAACACATTTTATTCTTGGCACAAAGCAGATCATCAGGAAGCTACAACTGATGAACTTAAAGAACTGATATTATAAAATTTAATTTTGTTGAATTATAAAGAACTGATATTATAAAATTTAATTTTGTTGAATTATATTTCACACCAACAGTTTATATTGAAGTGTGAAAAGAAAACAGCTCTAGGGAATTAAAGAGTTTGTTGATCATAGGGATGTCTTGAGGATGTTACCTACTTTATTACATAGTTTCTCCTTTTTGGAAGATCCTCCAGTGCCTAAACTTAGGAAAACACTATATTTATTAATTCACTTAAAAAATGTAACTTACTCAGTTTTTGCTGAGCACTGTTCTGGGGCACTAGATATAGAGCAGTGAACTAAACAGACCAAATCCCTGCCCTGAGTAGCAGCATTCACCTTCTAGCTCTTTGGCAGCTGGCTTGCTTTTATCTTACAGATACCCCAAATGTTATAACTGAATAGATTTAACTCTTTGCTTCGGATTCTAGTAGGTTCAGAGCCAAATGATACAGATTTTTATGGCATATATCCTTGTATGATAACTTTACTTGTGGATTTATCTTGCCCTTATACCCAATTTTCTCATCTACTTCTTTATTACCTTTATTACTCTACTGCAAAATATGTGTTTTTGTAAGTAACTAGAACATTTTTCAGGAGAAACAAAATTAAGAATTTATAAATGCATCAGGGAAATAAATAAATACAGCAATACAAACATAGGTATGTGTGAATTCAATTAACTATAAATTACAGCTACTAGCATCCTGGATGGCCATTTGCTTTCCATCATGTTTCACCTCCAGCCTCAGAACAATGATTCTTGAAAATTCATTAATGTAATAGATAATTATTGACCATGTGCAATATGCCAGACTCCATTCAAAGTAGGGGATTAATGGTTAACAAGATAGATTAAGTCTCTGGGAGCCTGTGTCTGCATGGAGGCTGTATTAGTCAGCTCAAGCTGCTATAACAAAATACCATAGGCTAAGGGGCTTAAACAACAGAAATATATTTTTTTCAAAGTTCTAGAGACTGGAAGTCCAAATCAGGGTGGCAACTTAGTCAGGTTCTGGTGAAGGCTCTTTCCCTGAATTACAGACAGCCACCTTCCTGCTGTCATCACATGACAGAGAGAGAGAGAGAGGGAGAGAGAGAGAGAGAGAGAGAGATTCCTTCCTCTTATACAACCTCAGTTCTTTCGAATTAGAATCCTGCTCTTAGGATCTTATTTAACCTTAATTACCTCCCAAATAGGTATTTGACCCTATCCCCAGATATAGTCACACTGGGGATTAGAGCATCAACAAATGAATTTGGAGGGGATGCAATTCAGTCCATAACAGAAACCTCATGACATCTTGTCCAATAGTCAAAGAGCTCTAGGGAAGGGATATTACAAATTTATTCCATAGGTAGTTCTTGGGTTGAAAGCCCCTCATTTATATTTGATCTAAACCCCAAATTGCAGATAAAGGGCAATTTACCTGATTTTGTCCTCCGACAAGATATTCAACTTTTAAAATCATGTTTATGTTTGTCATAAGATGAAGGAATGCAGCTGATATAAGATGATGTATCAGTCTTCACTGATTGAACTATACAATACACTACAAAGAATGGTGTTAGTAGTTGTGTTGACATCTACCTATTCAATAAACATTATGAGTCTACTAAATTCCAGACACTGCTAGGATCTGGGATGTAGTGATGACTAATAAAACACAGTCCCTGGCTGGGCACGGTGGCTCATGCCTGTAATCCCAGCGCTTTGAGAGGCTGAAGTAGGTTGATCATCTGAGGTCAGGAGTTTGAGACCAGCTTGGCTAACATGCTGAAACCCAACCTCTACTAAAAATGCAAAAGTTAGTTGGGTGTTGTGGTGGGCACCTGTAGTCCCAGCTACTTAGGAAGTTGAGGCAGGAGAGTCACTTGAACCCTGGAGGCAGAGGTTGTAGTGAGCTGAGATCATGTCACTGCACTCCAGCCTGGGTGACAGAGTGAGACTCTATCTCAAATACAAAACACAAACCCCCACCCCAACAACACACACACAGTCCCTGTCCTTTCAATGAAATGGGACATATAGACAAATAAACAGATACATATAAAATAGTGCTGTAAGTAGAGGAAGGAAAAAAATAGAGTCTTACGGACACATACAGGACACACACTGACACTGACCTCAGGTGTCAACAAAGGCTTTCCAAATGCAGTCATGTCTAAACTGACATCTGAAAGATAAGTAAAAGTTCTCTTGGTCAAGTGTGTATGAACAGGGATAGAGTGGGGAATGTGATCTAGAAATAAGAAGAATATAGAAAGAAGGTTTGGAGATTAGAGATGACATAGCTCCTTAGGAAAACCAAATGTCTGGAGAGTAGGGAGAGGGAAGATTCTAGGACAGAACCCTCAAGAATAGCCATCTTTTGAAATATTAGGAGGGGGAGACTAGATATTCCATGTCATCAACAGAGACATGGCCAGGAGGCAGGAGAAAGTCCAGGAGGATTCATTGTCATGGAATCAAGGCGAGAGACTGTTCTAGAAGGGGAGAGTGGTGATCTGCATTAAAAACTGCTAAGAGATGAAGTAAGGAGGGAAATGTGCCTAGGGATTGAGCAAAAAGCAAAAGGAAGTAGCTGACAAACTTGGTGCAATCAGTTTTAATGACTGGTAGGGGGAAGAGCTGTTGTTACACCTATTCTCATATACCTTGCTGGCCCTGATTAGAAGGAATTTGGTTAGATAGCAGGCCTTCCCCAGGTGATGCCTTCCATGTTCAAAACAATGGCAGGTGTGTAGTATGTATGCATGTAAATACACACACACACAGTTAAGTGTGTATAAGACAGACCACAAAATATTAACAGTGTGGTATATAGCATGGTGGGGTATATCTGGATGGTGGGACAATAGGAAATTGGTACTTACTTCATTACCCTTTTCTATATTTCATTGTTTTCTACATTGAACATCTATTATTTTAAAATTATAATAATGATAAAACTAATTTTAGAAATGGACTTACATAGGGGATGAAAGCAGATATTCCAATCTGGATTGATTTACCTATGAATTAAAACATGGTGTATCTTAATTTTTGTGTCAGGTTATCCAGATGCTTTTTTCTTTTCTTTTTTTCACTCTCCAACCATCAACATTTTACATGCTTGGATATCAAGGAAGGCTTTGTCTGGATAAAAACAAACTGATTTAATGAGCCTGAAAGACGTCTACAAATTTTGGGTAATTATATTGAAAATTTGCCCTGGATTCAGACAAGCTTTGAGCACACACAAAAACCATCTTTACCTTTGCCTTTCTTCCCTTCATGCCATAGATTTAAACAACAAATGGTTAAGATAACATTTATATTGCTGCCTTTCAGTCAAAATTGGCAAAAGGGCAGAATAAAACAAAATAATCAGTTTGCATCCTGGTTACCCTTTTACAATTAATTTAGGGAAAGCATGTAACTGGCAGAGAGAAACACTTTTCAGATCTCATGGAAAGAAATTATCCATTAGAATTTAAGGTCTTTTGGGAAGCAAACTAGTAGCACACTCAAGCTTGTGGAGCACAGGTAGTTAGGCCCCTGCCGACTTAAGTGGCCATAGTGCTCGATGCCCAGGGTCTTCCCTGACCCCACCCCCAAACTCCTAAGCAAATTCTCAAAGAGAGATGACAACTGGGTGATTTCAACGGAAAACAGAAAATCAAAGAACTTGAGTACCTTGCTCAAATCCATCAGGGATGTGATTAAAAAGGAAACTAGATTTCTTCCTTCCTTCTTTCTACACCCCACATACCTCCCACAGCTAACACAGCAGCCAGCATCATGACTTTCCAAGCTAATCATTAGTTCTTTCAAACCTTCAGACAAAAATATCTTCCTTTTGAATTTACAGACAACCTCTTCAGCTATGTCAGTACATGCTCCAGACAGAGGACGAAGGATTTCAGTCAGGGCATGGGCAGGCATAGGAGGGCAGGGTTAGAGGAGACTCAGCTTCCATGATATGGGTTAGGTCAGAAGCCTCTTGTTCTGAGGTCAGAGGCAGTCTAGAGAACATGACACAGGCCAGCCTTTGGGGCTTTTAGATTTCCAGATAGGTTCAGAAAGGAGCAGTAGGTTCAGGAAAACTTATATGTATCTGAAAGAATACAAAAGAATCACCTAGGTCGGGCGCGGTGGCTCATGTCTGTAATCCCCACTCTTTGGGAGGACTGCTTGAGTCCGGGAGTTTGAGACCAAATTGGGCAACATAGTGAGACTACATCCTTACACAAAATTAAAAATTAGCCAGGCATAGTGGCCCAAGCCTGTAGTCCTAACTACTCAAGAGGCTGCAGTGGGAGGATCGCTTTAGCCCAGGAGGTCAAGGCTTCAGTGAACCATGATCATGCCACTGAATTTCAATCTGGACAACAGAGCAAGACCCTGTCCCAAAAAAAAAATCACCTGAAAAGTTTGTTAAAAGTGGAGGTTCCCAGTCATCATCCCCAGATTCTGGTTCAATTATGCCTGGGATGGGCACCACAAATCTGCTTTGTAAAATAGTATGCTGGGTTATTCAGAAATGTGTTCAGAAATGTTAGCTTATAATTTTCATGCCACCCTATGCTGGCACTGCTTTGATCAGTGGAGTCTGGGAAGCAAGCATAACTAGTTTCCCCAGGCCCTGGCTGGGGAACGTGAACCTCTAGGTGGTGTGTGTGGTGTGAAGCAAGGGCTACGTACTCAGAGGCTACACAGCCTCAACCTTCCTTGAGTAATGATTCTAACTGCTGGTCTATGGAACAACATTACTATTTTTATTAAAGCAAAGATGAATACACAATGAATACATTAAAGCAAAGATGAATACACAATGTATACATGATTTGAGTGAATATCAAAGATGAAACCTGAAACTTTAAAAAAAGGAGCTTATGGTAGCCTGCTTTTGACTGTATCTCTCAGATTGGATATGCTTTCTCTGTTCTCTGTCTCCAGTGGAAAGTTTGAGAAGCTTTGTTAGCAGCTAGCAATCAGCATACCATACAGTAGTTTCCTCATTTGAAAATGACATAACAGCTGTCTCTTGAAATTGTGGTAAGGCATAAACAAGATAACACTATTTAAGCCCTAGCCCAAAGTCTGACATTCCAAAAATGTTCCGTAAATGTTCATCTTTCCCCCAGCGGTGAGAATACTCCATTTGGTACCCTAGATAAGTGAGGAATTGCCTCTTTCTCTTCAAGATCTGAATTGTAGAAGATCTATGTATGAAACCACATCTTCACAAAAAAATTTTTAAAACCCAGGCATTTTTTCCTTGGGAATGGACTGAAAAGGGTTATAGGCAAAACTAGTTTCATGTAAATGTTCATAATAATGAGGAAATATAACAGATTGATGGTGGATTTAAGTTTATCTAAGCATAATACTGGACAGAAACTAAAAAAAACATGTAGTTCATGTAGAAGTCCAGCAAGAAGATATTTTTCCTCTCTTGGAAACCTTCCCTATCACTTGCCATCTTATCTTATGGCTATTTGTGTGCCTTTCTCTGTACCTTTTAAACTATAAACTCCTTGAATGTGGAGACCATAAATTGTCTATCTTTGTATTCACTCATTTATTTTTTTCATTTAACTAAGATGAAAACAAGCTATAGGTAATGCATGCATGTGTTAAAAAAAATGAAGCTACACAAAAGAAGGACATTAAGAGGAAGAAAGTCTCCTTCCAGGGTACTAGCCTCCTGGTTCTCCTCTATGGGGACAATCACTATTCAAATTTTTTGTGTACATTTTCAGAGATAGTCTGCAAAAATAAATCACATTTATAAAAATAATAGTATGCCACACCCAATTTTTGGTAGTTTGCTTTTATATTTTACGAAATACATTTTACATATCTATACACATATTTTCCACGTATGTATTAAATATATTTCTATTTTTATATCTTACAGAACATTCCATCTTAGTGGATATAATACTGTCCTATCCTTTCTAAACAGCTCCGTAATATGTACCATAGTTTATCTTACCTCATTGATGAATATTCAGGTGGTTTTCAATTTAGGTGGTTTTGCTTCAGTGAATGCTCAAACAACGCTAAAATGAATATCTTTGTAAGTAAGTCTCTGGACATATTTAAGATTGCATCTATAGGCTAAATTCCTAGAAGTAGAAATGGGTCATTTGTAATTCTGATAAATTGCCAAATTGTTCACCACTAAAATTATGCTAATTTACTCTTCTGCCAACAATAACTATTGACCCCAAATTTTACAAACATTTGATGTGTTATCAAAATTTAACAACCTAATGAGTGAATAATTTGCATTTCATATGAATTGAAGTGTTTTGATTGATAGAGAAAGGAAGAACTTTTGTTAGTTCTGGAACAACTGATTATCTAGTTGGACATACCCATATAAAAAATCAAATCCAAGTAGATTCTGAACTTAAACGTTAAAGGCAAAACTATAGAAATTCTAGAAGAAAATATGAGAAAATATCTTTCTAACCTCAAAGTAGGAAAACATTTCTTTAATATGACCTCAAATGTACTAGCCATAAAGGAAAAGATTAATACATTTGATTATGTTAAATTAAAGAGCTTCTGATTGTCAAAAGATACTATGAAGAAGTGAAAAGATGCCAAAATATGGAAGAAGACATTGTAACACTTACAGTTGACAAAGGCTTAGTATTCAGACTACATAAAGAGTTCTGCAACTCAATAAAAAAAAAAGACAGCTCAGTAGAAAAATGGGTAGAAAACATGAACAAGCATTTCACAGCAGAGACGATGTGAATGTTGAATATACATAGGAAAAGAATCTCAATTTCATCAGCATTTAAGGAAATGCACATTGAGATATCAATGAGATACCATCTTACTATCCAACACTACCACGCATGGGCAAAAATATAGGCTCCTTTACGCTTCTGCTCAGAACATATACCAATACTTTGGAAAGTCATTTGAGATTATCATTCACAATACTCTAGATGTATATTTTGTAACCCTAGTTTTATACCCTGGAGAAAATCTCCAGTGCAAAGAATGTTCATAGCAAGTCTAGCAGTAATAGCAAAAACTGGAAACATCCCACCTGTTCATTGACTAAAGAATAAATAATTGTGTTACTTTCATTCAAGGGAACACTATGTAGAGAAGCTAGTCCATGTGGTTTTAAATCCTGGCTTTCCCACTTACCAAGGGTGTAATTTTGGACAATTACTTAACTTCTTTTCATCTCAATTTCCTCAACAATAGTTTATATCTCTATGGTGAAGGTTAAAGGATTGAGTGCATGTAAAGCTCTGAGAACTATATATGCACATAGTAAGCACTCTGTGTTAGCTATCAGTATTGAAAGAGTGCGGATAGAGTTTTGACGGATCTAAAAAAATCAAGAAACAGATTTGAACTAGATGGTGAAGGTACAAGGGAACATATAAACTGAGGATAAATAGGATGAAAAAGGGCAAGAAGAAATTTCAGGAAGTGGGAACAAAATGCAAAATGTCAGGAAGTGTGGAAAAAAATCAGGCACCAGGACAACTACAGCCATTCTGGGGCAGAGAATGTGGGCAAGACAGACAGTAGAAGATAGGGCTGAGAAAAAGCCAGGGGCCTGGCCTGAAGCAGCATCAATGATGGGTGGGAGTCCTCTCAAAATCCACATCCTGTTAATTGCATTGTGGCATTCTCAAGACACTCATAGCTTTCTTTATTTTGAAGTAGGATGATCTAGAAGTTTCTCCTTACCTTGTGGAAATTACTTCTTATCTATTGAGTTTTTTCTACCTTCTTGACACAGAAGTTTAATTATAAATTCAAAGCCTCTACCCGCCAATTTTTTTCTTAAATTCCAAAATAACGATGAGATGTGGCTTCTATTTGTCCTACAAAATCTATATCCATTTTTTTCATGAAGGAGGCCCAAAATATCAAAATCATGATGATGAAGGGATAAATATAATCTGAATTCATGTTCTATGAATTGCTCATTCATTGCATGGTATCTCAGAATCTCACGCATTGGCACCTCACAGTCTATACATCTTTTTCAAGTTTGTTACCACATTTAAGTTATTCTTCCCTGACAATGCTGTGAGGGAGGGTATGAGTCCATTCTCACGCTGCTATGAAGAAATACCTGAGACTGGGTAATTTATAAAGAAAAGATGTTTAATTGGCTCACAGTTCTGCAGTTATACAGGAAGAATGATGCTGGCATCTGCTCTGCTTCTGGGGAGGCCTCAGGAAAACTTACAGCCATGGTGGAAGGCAAAGGGGAAGCAACACTTCACACGGCCAGAGCAGGAGGAACAGAGAGAGGGGAAGGGAAGGTGCCACGTACTTTTAAACGACCAGATCTCATGAGAACTCTATCAGGAGAATATCACCAAAGGGCTGGGGCTAACCCATTCATGAAGGATCCACCTTCATGGTTGTAGTTGTCCTGGTACATGACTTTTTTCCACACCTCCCCCTATGATACAATCACCTTCCACCAGGCCCCACCTCCATCATTGGGGATTACAACTGAACATTAGATTTGGGGGGAGAACACAGACCCAAACCATATCAGGGAGGCCTTGCTAAGTCCCTTTAATAAGTAAAGAGGCTAAGGGCCATGATGTGAAAGGGGGTGTGTCCACTGTGGAAGAGCTTTGAACCTGGTCAGTTCTGAATTGAAATCCCGAATCCGATACCTAGCTGGGTAAACTAACCTCTCTGAACTTTATATTCCTACTGTTTGATGAGCAATGATGAATAAGCCTCACTGGGTTTTGTTCACATTTCAATAAGGCTTTAGCCCATGATGCTGTGTTCTAAACGGTAGCAGTGATTACCATTGCTGCTCAAGGGTAGAGCTCAGGTTTGAACTCGCTCAGTTCTGCTTACTCTAAGGCAGTGCTCTCTCTCTTTTGTTACAACACAGATGTTCACAAGGCAGGAGTGGAGGGCCTCCCAGGACCCATGTTTGTTAAGGCCATATTTGGCCTGGCTCCCATTCTTAGAGCGTATACTTTCCTACCATGTTCAGGAGATATTATCATAATTTTGATATAAAATGTCACACCACATGATATGAGTGGCTAGCAGTTATAAATTCTGAGTTTTTGAATTACCAGGAATAAGCACTGGTAATTGAGGCAGAAGCTTTTTTTTTTTTTTTTTTTTTTTTGCGTGCTAAATGTGATTTCACAGATTGTTAGAAAGGAAAAAGCATTTTTCTCTGTAACTCTATCATTAGATCTTTTAAAAGAGGAAAACTCCTGAATGTATTCCACTGTTAAGTTCTCCCATAATAGCATCACCTTGATGCTTAAATAATTTATTTCAAGACTTTATTAGATTACGAAATAAACATCTTGAGAGCAAGGATGTCATAACTGCTTCATCTGTTCAATGCCAAGAACAGATACCTTGTGCTCCTACCCCACTTAATGTAGGTGTCCATTAACTGTTTCTTGCATGAATATTGAATCTTGAAGGGAATCATGGCTGAATGGACCTTTCCCAGGACCAGAATGTACTTTAGTATGTCTGGCACAAATTACAAAATATGAAAGACTTTCTTTAATCTCCATGTGAGGTTATTTTCCTTCCTCCCTCCTTCTTCTCCTCATAGGTAAAGGTTATTTCACAATCTGGGGAAGGTCTTTTGCAGCAAAACAATTATTATTTATTTCTCATTAATGGAAGTGGCAGAATCAGAGAGGACTAGCTTTTCCTTTGAAGCAGATCAGTTCTTTTAAGTTAGATCAGGTTTCACATCAATTAAAGGCACCATCCCTGAGCATAACTGGAAACGTATCTCTTCTTCTGAAAGGTTTAGAGTTTGGCTGATACGTGAGACATATTCTTAGGCGAGGGGGTTTTCTGGTTTGTCTTTTATTTTAGGAGTTCCTGGTGGGATGTTGGAGTGGAATTCACATTTTCAGTCCACTCATTAGGCAAATGGTATTTGTCCATTTGCCTATGGTTTAAATTCAGCAAAAACTAAAAACAACAAGAACAACAAACATTTCTTCCCTCATGTAAGGAGTTTGTATCCGGATAATAAACAGCAGTCTTATATTTGACTCAACAGTTTCAAAGTTACTATTACGAAACTTTGAATCCCTCAAATGTCCTCTGGGCTCATTGTCAGATTTCTTATTTCCCCTTTTGGCTCTCTATGTACTATATACATGTCAAAGACACAAACACGACCTTTCTATTTTCCACCTGCACTGTAGATCCGTTAAAGGGTCTTTTAAATGCTACTGTATCGGGAGGTCCTTCTTAGCCTGGACTGGCTTCCTGAGGCCTCTTTTCTTTTTGGCAGATACAGGAGATCAGATTCTTCTTGCATGAAGGATGTTATCAACATGGATTGCCACAAACCTGGCAGAGCAGTTGTCACAGAGTGTAGTTCCATGGTTCTGACTCCTTCTCTTATGGCTGAGACTTCCGCTTCTGCTTTTATTTCTGAAAGAGGCGCTCAACATGCCTGCTCCTTCCCACCCAGTGATTTTACATTAGTAAATGTACCTGGGCTCTTTCTCCTAGGCATAAAAACTTATTGCAGAACAGGCACTCCCCTTGCTTCTCCTGCATGTTTGTACCTCTGAAGTCCTTCAGACTGGCCACTCTCAATTGCCTAGATCTCCATCCTATCCAAAACACATCCCCTCTGGGCCTTTCCCCACTCACTGCACTCATTAACTCACAGAATCTTCCTTAAAATCGTCACAACTGCAGTACTCTTGTGCTTTAGTTTTCTCTTTTCAAATTCTGGCTGTGGCTGTCAAATTTTTGACAAGCCATTTACTCCACTTATTCCAAATATGTTCTTATATCTTTAATTGGAAAAACATGTTTAAAAATTTCTGGTGGCACTGATGTAGTACCTTTCAACGTCTTTGGAGATATAGGCAAAATGATCTGCTACTTGGTCCTTTCTCTATTCACAGCGTTCCTGTTTACATTCCTCTTCCTTTGAAGTAAAATCTGGAGGAGAGGATCGGCTGTCTGAGGAAGGTCACCCTTACACGTAGACCTCACCTGAAGCTTCTCAGAAATAAATCCCAGAGCAAATCTTCCACACCCGTGTTCTGAGAGAGTCCAGGAGAGCAGGCTGAGGTCAAGGTAAAGGACAAGTCAAGCTGATCTCACACATTCCAACATATCTATGGGGATTTTAGGAACAGCAGAGCTACTCCGTGCTTTTGTCATCACCACAGCAGCAATAGATTGAAGAGAAGAGAAATGAACTTTTTTTGTGTGTGTCTGAGAGACAGAGTTACAGAGCAATTTTAACTGCTGGACTATGTGGACTGGTCCAATGCCTAATTTCCCGAATTCTTCACTAAAGACCTCTTGTCCTTTGAGGGCAATGCCAATCGTTTCAAGCATCGGCTGGGAGATACGGTGAATCTGTACATTCTTTCAGGTTTCCAGGTGCAGTGTAATTAAAAATAAGAAGGTCTGCTTGAACCAAGATGACCCTAATTACCTTTGTTAAAAACACAGATGGGAGGCAATAGAAGCTTAGTGTACAAGAAAAGCCTCTTTCTAGACCAGAACTATATTTAAAGAAAAACCAAGAAAAATGGAAAATTCCACTATTGGTATATTCCCTGGTATTTAATTTTCTCACAGACTATCTTAAATCTATTCTGCTCTAATCCAGAAATTATGGTTTAGTGACTAAGGTTCTAGGATCAACTACCTAGGTTTATGTTCCACATCTTCCAATTACTAGATGTAGAATGTTGGGAAAGTTACTTCAACTTTCTAAATCTTCATCTCTTCACTTGTAAAATGGGAATAATAAAAGCAACCTCATAGGGCTGTTGTGAGATTTAAATGAGACTCTATGTCTAAAGTGCTTAGTTCAGGGCTTGGCAAGCAGTAAGCACTCAATAAATACAATCTATTTTTACTCTTACATGTTGAGTATCCCTTATCTGAAATGTTTAAAACCAGAAGTGCTTCAAATTTTTTACTTTTATCTTTGGATTTTGGCATATTTGCATGTCTATAGTGAGATATCTTGGGGATGGAACCCATATCTAAATTTGAAATTCATTTACGGTTTATATATACCTTATCCACATAACCTGAAGGTAATTTTATTTTTCCCTTGGAAACGCTGAATAAACTGTGTTGTGTACCTACATTTGGACTGAAACTCATCACATGAGGCCAGGTGTGGAATTTTCCAAATTTCAGATTTTGGAGCATTTTGGATTTCAGATTTTCAGATTGAGGATGTTCAACCTGTATTTAATTTGGGTGGCTTTGGTTGCCTTCAGCAGAAGTGAACCTACCAGAACCTCATCTTCAGCATCTGTGAGCTCCTATCTCTTTTCTTTGCACCATCTTAGTTGTCATTACATTGTGAAATCTTCACACCTTGCATTTCATAGTCCAATTAAGTCATTTCCCTGTTCCTTAATAAGCAAGGTACCCCCACAATTCCTATGGCATTTGCTGCTGCCCAGCAAAGAAAATGTCAAACAGAAACACTTAGGACTTCCCCTCTCAGAGCCAGATCTCTTCCCAAAAATTATCCTCTTAGCCAATAAACACTGGCATGGACTTTATTAGACACTTGGGAAATAAAGCATCAGCCATTGCATTTTCATTTGTTTTCTGTGATTATGAAATGGTCTACACTTCCTGCTTAGTCACACTAATAATGAGTCTGTATATTTCTTTTTCTACAAATTGGCATGGTCACCAAATCAGAAAGACTTAGTTCATTGTAGTCTTTTAGGAACAAACCAATGTTTCACACATTCAGATCTACTACTTAATATTTTCGTAAGTTACAAAGTACTCACAAAGTCACGAGAACCTGCCTGTGAGTCCAGGCTGTACTACTTGAATAGAATGCCAATTTCTATAGAAAGATAATTTGAGGATCTTAAGTCATATTCCAGGTATCTAGGTTTTTGGTTTTTTATCCTGTAAGAAGGCATCAATGTTGTCAGATGTTACTTTGTTCAGGATTATTTTACACTTACTACATTTTATCAGTGTCACCCAGTTACAATTTTTTTTTTGGTAATACCATACAAGGTGAACATGGGACCGGTGTCAAGGGGGCTCATATGTGTAAATAAAAGTTATTACAGGCAGTGCCTTAGTGTTCAAATCATTTTGTCCAAGGCAGTCTTGGTGGCTCTGCCTAAATGGCAGTTCATCAGTGTCTAGGAGGTCATGTCCTAGAGAGTGGCTTAATTATGGTTCATTTTGGGTCCTATAGTTGAGATTCTCTGATTTTAGGAAGGAAGTAGGGGAAGGGAGGAAAGGAACTAAAGCCAAACATAATGTGTTCATCATTGTTTAAGACCCTTTCCAAATGCCATCTCATAGCAAATGAGGCACTTCACAAATTGCCTTATAAGGACCCATTGAAGGAATTCTGTAATAAGCCTGATTCATCTTCCAGGATGCTTTCCATGGGGTAACTATCACTGTACACATGCTTTATCCCTGGAGAGCTGTCCATAACCAAGTTCCAACTACCTGGCCACAGAGGTGGGTATCTGATCCAGGCTGGACAGAGATTTCCTCTATGAACAATGCTTGCAGGAAGAGTGAGGGTCTTTTTCTTTCGATTGGCTGAGTAAAGGACTTGTCATGTCATTTCTACTGCCACCTGCTGACAGACAGCCTCAAGATGAAGTAACATATAGAGAAAAGTCAAATTCAGAGATGGAGGAAGTACCAGAAATTTCAAAGATTGTCTGAACTCCTGGATCTAAACTTGCCTGAAGCCGGACAGACTGTCAAGGATTTCCCACTTTGTTTTTGGATTAAGCCCATTTGAATTGGGTTAATGTCACTTGCAACTAAAAGAGTCTCAGACAAAAAGGAGAGCTATTATGCTCATTTTATGAGTAAGCAAGCAAACTAAGGCTCAGAGGAAGAAATGATCTTGCCTGAAAGCAGCAGGGATAGGACTTAAATCCAGATTATTTTGTGTCCAAAGTTTGAGCTCTTTCTACCTTGGTGCCTCCTTGGAAGGTCAGGAGAAGCTATGGAACTCTTCCCAAATGTCTTAATTCTCCAAGAGTTGTAATATGACTGAAACAGACAAGGGTTTGTGTGAATCTCACATTTGGTTTGAGCCAATACAAGCGTGATCAGAAAAGTTTACCAGCAAATATCTCTGGAGTGATTCCAACTGTCCTACTGGGTAGTGTGGACAATCAGTGAGAACAAAGACTAGCAGAACACTAAGCTGCAGCTGAAAGGAAAGTGGATATAACTCATCTTTGAATAAAATAGACAAAATAGGACAAAACCACCTTGAGATACACTCAAGAACAACATCACATGAAGAGAAATAGCTTGGACCAGCTCAGGATGCAAATCATTGATGTACAGAGAGTTGGGGCATAAACTTTAGAAGAAATTTGGGTGTCTGGAAGTTCCAAATTACAGGGAGTGTGATGGGCTTCTTGGCTCGAGGAGAGATACTTGGAAATAGTGGCTACAGTAGCTAGTCTAAGAACTGTCTGCAACCATGCACAACTGGAAACACTCTTGGCTTGCCTTGCCTTGCCTTGCCTTGCCTTACCTTTTGCCTTGCCTTGCCTTGCCTTTTGCCTTGCCTTTTGCATTGCCTTTCCTTTCCTTTCCCTTCCCTTCCCTTCCTTTCCTTTCCTTTTCTTTCCTTCCTTCCTTCCTTCCTTCCTTCCCTCCTTCCTCTCTTCCTCCCTCCCTCCCTTCCTTCCTTCCTTCGCTTTCTTAGCACATGTTTACTAGTCCCTTATTATGTGTAAGGCTCTGTGCTGAGCACTGGAGATTCAGTGATCAAGATGTGGTTCCTGCCTTCAGAGCTTTACAGTTGAAGGCTATGTATGAAAGTCATTGGCAATTGTGTGAGTGTATGTATGTGCATGTGTGCACATGTGTGTGTGTGTGTGTGAGAGAGAGAGAGAGAGAGAGAGAGAGAGAGAGAATGAAGCAGAGATCTGGAGAATTAATACTGAAGATTTCAGAACCACCATTTATGCCGCAAATATATATATATTTTTTCTCTAGTGAGCCATCTACATGACAAATACTCCTAGGAGTAAAGCCTTATTTAACTGCACCTGTGCAAGGAGAAATTCTGATGTCTGGCTGAAGGGCTTGGGAATGAAGACCGGAATGGTGGAGGCAGCAGGAGAGAGGACCCAGCCCAAGGAGAAAAAGAGCTTTTTCAGTGAAAGCTGGGAAGGTGGTCAGGACAGCTGTGCCCCCTCCCCTCCTTTGTGAGGTGGCATCTCACATGGTAACAGGTGTCCTTACTTGAATGGGGTGTTTTGCTTGGGTCCAGTAGGTTGACCAGAACAGCGGGCAGGCAGAAGTCAACTCTCAATGAATACTGACTGGTCTCTAACATTGTATGCTACCTCCTGGATTGTGAAAATGGTTTCCATATGCATTATTTCACCTGATCTCCATAGCAATTTGAAAAGGCAACTGAGTATTGTATTCTTTGGATGTGGAAAATAATGCTTGTGAAGGGGAATTGACTGGCCCAAGCTCACACGGCCTGAAACATGGCAACAGTGGGACCTGAGCCTCAATCTTCTGAGTGCGAAGCTCATGCCTTCCAACTAACTGCATTCACTTCTTCTGTTCCGACCCAGGAGACTCTGCCATTAGAAATGGCTGAGGAAAGAGACTACTTAATCAGAGAACTATACAGTTGGCACAGTTCCTTTCTCAAGAAGAATCCTAGGCTGAAGGCAGTGTATTCAATCCTCCTTAAAAGAGCACAATTGCATTTCACTCATTCAATAATTTGGTCAATGAGTGTTTCCTTGAAGAGAAGCAACTCAGTCGAAATAACATGTATAAAGCTTCCAGCATAGTACCCATTGCATAGCGGGCACTCAATTATTGCTTAATTCAGGGTCTGCAACCTGCCTACCTCTTTAGCCACATCTCACACAACTCTCCCACCAGTCACACTGGTCTGCTTTAAATTTCTCCAGCATATGTAGGTACTATCATAGTCCTGTTATCACAGATGAGGAAACAGGCACAGAAAGGTTAGGTAACTTGCCTGAGGTCACACAGAAAGTCAGTAGGGCAGTGAGGATTCAAACCCAGGAAGCCTGTTTCTTAGCCTACATCCCACACCACTGCCTTTCCCTAAGTGGGTGACTAGGAAAGAAAACTATTCCAGAAAGAGGCAAGAATACATTTTCACCCCCACAGTGTTTTCTTCGGGCTTGCACAAAATTATATATGTAAAACAAGTAGAAGATGGCTGGATCAACTAACATTAGCCAAGGTTATTACTCATCACAGAGTAATGAGACATCTAGTGAGAGTTGCTCAGGGAAACCTCAGTTTCCATCATGTGGATCAGTTCCCTCTTTTACACCCTCTTCTAAAGAGTCACACTATCCTTTAGAGCACTTGTCTCTGTTTATAATTATACATACATTTGTGACTTATTTAATATTTCATTTAGTTTAGAATCCCAGTGCCCAGTCCTGGTAAAAGCAAACAAACAAACAAAAAATCCAACTCAATAAGTATTTCTTGAATGAATGGATGAGTGAATGAAACATTCCTTGCCGCCCTAGAGTCCTACATTTTTTCTCTTCTTAGTGGGAGGAGAATATTCATCTTTGTTTCTCTTCATGCCATCTTGGGACTCTCACGCATTTCCCACAACGAATCTACATGGTGTTTACAGGTGCCTTCTGAAAACCGCCCACTCCCTGGTTTCTAAACTCAGCTAAGCTATGTCTCTGAAATGTCAGCCTCTCTCGTTAAGTCTCCTTCTCAAAAGAAGCGAGAAATTCAGACAAGGAAAGTTTTCAGTTCCTCTCCTAGTCGTGCCAATTGTATAATGAATCTGTGGGATTGAGTTTATTTCCAAATTTAGACCCACTCTGAGCACAATGGAGGCTTCTAACTCATCGCAGTGGATCTCAAACCCACTTTTGACTTTTAAAGCTTACAGATTTTTCTGGATTTTGATGAGTGGTGAGTGGGAACAGAAAGTTCCAGAAGATACAGTCCTGTAGTTTCTGTTCATGTCCTGTTTTCCTTTTGCCTAAATGTGGTTCTTTAGAATCTGCCCTCTCTTTCCGCTCCTATGATCATACTATTTAGAGACAAATATTTTCCCTGCCCTTCAAGGAAGCTGTTTTATTTCTGGTTGTTCATAAAATAAAGAGACACAGAGTCCTTCAAATTCACCTTTCTGGACTCCTTGGTATACAGATTTCTTGTGCTCTTTGCTTCCTTAATCTTAGTATTTTAATTTTCTTTCTTCTTAAAGAAATTTAATTTCCTTTCTTACATGCATGAATTAATATGAATTTTAATCCTCACTTTGCTGTATTACCTTGGCTTTTTCATCTGTAAAATTGGCCGTTTGTGTTTCACAGGTTAATTGTGAACATTAACAATGAGGTAATGGATGTGTCACAGGGTAATCAATAGGTTATTTCTTTGTTTCTGTTGGGGCTCCAAAGCTAAGAATAATAGGTGGCCAGGGCCCCTCATTCTACACAGGGATGTTGGACCGTCTAGGCAAGATTTGCCCCAACTCTTCTGTGCCTCAAAGCCCATTTCCCCCTGCCGGGGTGCAATGAGAGCCTCAAAGGGAAAGAGCACAGAGGGCACCATACCCAGATGACAATAGCGCCAGAGAATTTACCTTCCTCCTTCCTTCTCTCCCCCTGCCTTGGAGGAGTCAGAGGCTCCTGGGTGAGTAGGGAGAATGAGAGGGAAAAGCAGATGGAAGAATTTATTATAGAACAGGCAGGGCCCAGGGTCACCTCCATCCTTCCCATTGCTATTCCACAGAACAAATGAACAGACCTGTGCTGGCCAGGGAGAGAAGATTTGAATTGGATGAGAAACGGAAGTTTTGATATTAGATATTAGAACATTAGCTATTAGTCTCTAATCTCTTATTCAAAACCCTTGGGGCCACATAGACTTCAGAATCCAGCACTTAATTGTGAGTTTTAGAAAGGACCTATGATGCAGATGCTGTCAGCACTGCTGCCCTACACCAGCACTCTGTAAGCAAACACCTTAATATTTCTGCAGCAAAATGTATTCTTCTCCACACAAGGCAAGAGCATGTAAATCACTACACATAGCCTCACATAAGTTTTTCCACCTAATGTCTTTGTAGCAAACTTCAAAAAGTTTAGACTTTTAGAACTGTGGAGATTTCAGAATTGCAGATAAGGGATTGAGGTGAGAGTCCTAAAAATAAGAACGTCTATTGATGCCTGAAAGTGACCTGAGAAGATTCAGAATCTGCCCAAATAATCTCTACAGACAGGAAATCAAATAGTGAGTGGGAAAGAAAGTGGTGCAAAACCTTTCCTGCTCAAACATCACTGAATTCCACTTGTCAAGAAATCAGTTACTTATATAAATGGGTATGTATGTCATCTGTGCGTTTCTTACACAGCAGATGATTAACAAATGTTAACTTCTCTTTCCTTTTCCATCAGGTCCTCCACATCTTCATAAATACGGACAGATTTGCTGGTAAGGAATCCCTATTGTTTCCTAGGGGGAAATTTTATTTATTTTTGTTTTTTAATTAATTTGTAAATTTGTTTCTATTTCAATAGGTTTTCGGGAAACAGGTAGTGTTTGGTTACATAAATAAGTTATTTAGTGGTAATTTCTGAGATTTTTGGTACACCCATCACTGGAGCAGTGCACACTGTACACCGGAGCAGTGTACACTGTACCCAATGTGTAGTATTTTAGTCCGCACCCCCCTCCCACCATTTCCCCAAAGTCCATTGTATCATTCTTATGCCTTTGTGTCCTCATAGCTTAGCTCCCACTTATGAGTGCAAACATACAATGTTTTCAGTTTGCCATTTCTGAGTTACTTCACTTAGAATGAGAGTCTCCAATTCCATCCAGGTTTCTGCAAATGCCATTATTCATTCCTTCTTATGGCTGAGTAGTATTTTATGGTATATATATATCATAAACATATATATATCATAAATAAATATATATATCACATTTTATCTGCTCATTGATTGATGGGCATTTGGGCTGGTTCCATATTTTTGCAATTGCAAATTGTGCTGCTGTAAACATGTGTGTGTAAGTATCTTTTTCATATAATGACTTGTTTTCCTCTGGGTAGATACCCAGGAGTGGGATTGCTGGATCAAATGGTAGATCTACTTTTAGTCCTTTAAGGAATCTCCACACTGTTTTCCACAGCAGTTGTACTAGTTGACATTCCCACCAACAGTGTAAAAGTGTTCCCTTTTCACCACATCCACCAACATCTGGTTTTTTTTTAATTTTTTGATTATGGGCATTCTGAAGTCTATGTAGCATCTGATTATGGGCATTGCAGGAGTAAGATGGTATCACATTATGGTTTTGATTTGCATTTCCCTGATAATTAGTGATGTTGGGCATTTTTCCATATGCTTCTTGGCCACTTATATATCTTCTTTTGAGGACTGTTTATTCATCTAGCCCACTTTTTGATGGGACTGTTTTTTTACTTGCTGATTTGTTTGGGTTCTTTATAGATTCTGGATATCAGTTATTTGTTGGATGTATAGATTGTGAAGATTTTCTCCCACTCTGTGGGTTGTCTCTTAACTGCTGATTATTTCTTTTGCTGTGAAGAAGCTATTTCATTTAATTAAGTCCTATCTATTTGTATTTGTTTTTGTTGCATTTGCTTTTGGGTTCTTTGTCATGAAGTCTTTGCCTAAGCCAACGTCTAGAAGGGTTCTTCTGATGTTCTCTTCTAGAATTTTTATGGTTTCAGGTCTTAGATTTAAGTCTTTGATCCATCTTGAGTTGATTTTTTTATAAGCTGAGAGATGAGGATCCAGTCTCATTCTTCTACATGGGGTTTGCCAATTATCCCAGCACCATTTGTTGAATGTGACGTCATTTCCCCACTTTATGTTTTTGTTTGCTTTATCGAAGATTGGTTGGCTATAAGTATTTGAAGTATTTGGCTTTATTTCTGATTTCTCTATTCTGTTCCATTGGTCTATGTGTCTATTTTTACACCAGTGCCATGCTGTTTTGGTGACTATGACCTTATAGTATAGTTTGAAGTGAGGTAATGTGATGCCTCCAGACTTGTTCCTTTTGCTTAGTCTTGTTTTGGCTATGTTGGCTCTTTTATGGTTCCGTATGAATCTTAGAATTGTGTTTTCTAGTACTGTGAAGAATGATGGTGGTGCTTTGATGGGAATTGCATTGAATTTGTAGATTGCTTTTGGCAGTATGGTCATTTTCACAATATTGATTCTACCCATTCATGAGCATGGGATGTGTTTCCATTCGTTTGTGTCATCTATGATTTCTTTCAGCAGTGTTTTGTAGTTTTCCTTGTAGAGGTTTTTACCTCCTTGGTTAGGTATATTCCTGAGTATTTTATTTTATTTTATTTTATTTTACAGCTACTGTAAAAGGGGTTAAATTCTTGATTTGATTCTCAGCTTGCTCACTGTTGGTGTATAGCAGAGCTACTGATTTGTGTACATTAATTTTGTATCCTGAAACTTTGCTGAATTCATTTACCAGTTCTAAGAGCTTTTTGGATGAATCTTTAGAGTTTTCTAGGTATATGATCATATAATCAGCAAACAGGAACAGTTTAACTTCCTCTATACTGATTTGGATGCCCTTGGTTTCTTTCTTTTGTCTGATTGCTTTGGCTAGGATTTCCAGTACTATGTTGAATAGAAGTGGTGAAAGTGGGCATCCTTGTTGTGTTCCAGTTCTCAGGGGAAATGCTTTCAACTTTTCCCTGTTCCGTATAATTTTGGCTGTGGGTTTGTCATAGACGGTTTTTATTACCTTAAGGTATGTCCCTTCTATGCCATTTTTTTAAGGGTTTAATCATAAAGGGATGCTGGATTTTCTCAAATACTTTTTCTGCATCTATTGAGGTGATTATGTGATTTTTGTGTTTAATTCTGTTTATGTGGTTATCATGTTTATTGACTTGCGGATATTAAACCATCCCTACATCCTTTGTATGAAACCCACTTGATCATGGTGGATT